GATGGCTTCTTCGCATCGTTTAGAAGAGAGGTAGTCTTTCAACACAACAGGACCCACTTTTGAAACAGCGCAAACTTTCGAACAGCAGCTTCACCAAAGGATGCGGGTGTTTCAGTTTTTGTTTTGGTTTTCCTATGCAGACTGTTTCCAAGTTTTCGCAGCACTTCGCCAGGCTGAGCGAACAGCTGTCGGAAGTGCTTCTTGGGAAACTCTGAAGCCATTTTTGGGTGATGGAAAGGCGCCAACTGCCGAAAACCCGCAACTTGTTGAAGGGCAAGTTGCAGGGGCAGCAGCTCCAAATGTCCAAGACATTCCGGCTGGTGGCGCTGGTGTGCCCCCCGATGATTTGAACTTTGCGAATTTTAGGACCTTTAGGATGTTCTGTTAGAGATTTTGTTTTTGGTTTTTGTGATAGCAGAAACGGGTTTTGGGCGCTTTGGCCAAGAAGTCAAAAGAACATACGTGGTTTTGGGAGTTTGACTCTGACTTTAAAGGTGGTGTTGACTGTTCGGTCTCGCAGTCACAGCAGCAGACGTGCTTCTGAGAGATTTGATTTGAGACGCCAAAGTTTTGAGGCTGTGTTGACTGTCTGGACCCAAAGTCCAAGTAGCAGACGTGGTTCTGGGAGACTTGACCTTAGAGGACAACGTTTTGAGGCGGTGTTGATTGTCTGGACTCGCAGTCACAGTAGCAGACGTGTTCTGCAAGACTTGACCTTGGAGGCAAACATTTTGAGGCGGTGTTGAGTGTTTGGGTCCAAAGTCAATTTAGCAGACGTGGTTCTGGGAGAGTTGACTTGAGAGGCCAAGGTTTTGAGGCGGTGCTGACCGTTTGGACCCAAAGTCAAAGCAGCAGACGTGGTTCTGGGAAACTTGACCTGACAGGCGAAGGTTTTGAGGTGGTGTTGACTGTCTGGATTCGCAGTCGCAGTAGCACACGTGTTTCGGGGAGACTTGACCTTGGAGTCCAAAGTCAAAGTAGCAGACGCGGTTCTGGGAGATTTGACCTTGGAGGCAAAGGTTTTAGGACCAGGATTAATTGCTGGCAGTTGAAAGCACAAATGTGGTGTTTGGAGGCCTGCCTTCCAGGCAAGGGCTTGGCAACCAAGTCAGGGTGTGCGCCGCTCCAGGCGCCACGCCTTCAGAAAGGTGCGCCAATGGAGCCGGCAGAGCGGTTTTGGGTGCGCTTGCCAGCGAAAACGGGGGCGTGGCATCTGGAGCGGACGCCGCGCCGCCCTTCGCCGCCCTTCGTGGTAAAGTTTACCGCGCGCGACGCCGCGCCCGGCAAGAAGTCTTGAAGGGAAGGAGGTCTTGTTTTCTTTGCAAAACCCACCAGAAATTCTGTGTGTGATTGCGTTTTGTTTCATGAATTCTTCTTTTCTCATTTTGTGCGCAAAAAACAACCATAAAGCGATTTCGTGCTTCTTGTTTTTGTGTGTTCTGTTTGAGTTTGTGCTTCTTCTTCTTCTTTTGTGTGTGATTGTGTTTTGTTTCACGAGTTCTTTTTTATTAATTTTATTTTCTTCGCAAAAACCCCACAAAGCGATCGTGCGGCTTCTTCTTCTTTTGTGTTCATGATTGCGTTTTGTTTGAGTTTCTATTTTTTTCAGAACTGTGGCACATTGCTCTTCTTACGGATAGACTTTGTGACAGGACGATGCGCAGTTGCGGCGACCTTGGCGGAGCTTTGCGAACCTCGCTGATGCGAGGATTTTGCAGCATGAACTGGCAGATGTGAATCTCAGCTTGTAGCTCCACTTGCAGGAGTTCCTTTTTCCGACAGAATCGCAGTCTGGAAGGACCTCTCCTGAACAACTGGAAAGCAAAATGTTTTGGAGCAATAATTTGGCCTCATATCCAGAACCGTTTGAGGCAATTTTTCTGTCATTGTTGTTGGAAGCTGTGGTGGTGAACGAAATCGCTCTCGTCCAGCATGTGGTGTTTGCAACTCCTGCTCATGTTCTTTGTCAACAATTGCCGCAAACCGCATCTGAAGCATCCAACGTGGTGTAGCACGGTGGTCAGTGTGTCCATTCGTGGCATCTTTGTGCTTGGTAACGCGCCTGTCGTTTGGTGATGTGCGAAACAGATTGCGGAATTCAACCTGCCAAAAGCTCCATCAGAGTGAAGCAGGGCTTTAGGACTGCAAGAATGCACAAATTTTGAAGAGACGGTGCAATTCTCACAACTTCAGTGGCAGTGAAGTCGAAGGGACGTCTGAACGGTGTTCATTCAAAGTTCGTTGGTTGCATTTTCGTTTGGAAACACAATCGTTCGTCCAAGGTGTGGCGTTTGCGAATTTTCTGCGAAAAATCGCAGCCGAAAATTGTATTTGAAGGTCGTAAAGTGGGAGTTCTGAACTGTTGGTGTGTTCATTCGTTGCGTTTTTGGAAGCAAAAGCGATGGTCCGGCGTATGGCGCTCTGCGTTGCAATGTTGCTTCAAGCAGTCAACCGACACCCAAATGCCGGCACCGATGAGTTTTCGTACCCTGGATCTTTACGCTACACCACTTGGAAATCCTTAAAAAATCTTTGTAAAATGGTAACCTTTAAACCCCTTGGATTGTGTAGTGTGTGGAAATGACCCAATTTGGCAATCCTGAAGTTACTCATCGGATTGTTTCCCTGGCAGTTGCTCGGTGAGTCTCGGAATCTGTGGATTTTAGGAGATGTTGCCGAAGACATGAAACACAGCATCCACGGTTTAAGCCTGCGAAACGATGCGCAGGAACAGAGCAGGACCCAACCTCGACTTATCTCGACTTGCTCTCCAGAAACCACAACCATAGGACGGTGCAGGACCACGGCAGACAAGAACTGCAAGGTCACTTGGGGTCCTTCAAAACCGCTGTGGGGACCACGGTTTTTGCGAGGCTTTGCGCTCGTGAAATGTCCCGGCACCGGGCGCCGCCGAACATTCTAGTGAATTCGAGTGGTCTCCGAGCCTTTCTCCAGGGGCTGATTAAACGCATCCACGTCTGACGCTTTGCTCTGCCGTGCGAGCCCCAACAAAACGTCTGATGCTTCCAGATGCTGCCCAGTTCCCAAAAGCACAGTCTGATGCTTTGAGATTGCTGCGAGGGCCCAAAAATCGTCTGATGCTTTCAGTTGCTGCCAGACTACCACAAGCACAGTCTGATGCTTTGACCTTGCTTCAAGAACCCCCGACGATGCGTTTGATGCTTGCAGTTGCTGCCAGGTCCCCCCAAAGCACGTCTGATGCTTTGACTTTGCTGCGAGGGCTTCAAATAACGTTTGATATTTTCAGTTGCTGCCAGATTCCCAAAAGTCTGATGTTTCCTCTGCAAGCCTTCGCCCAGGGCTTCCCAACCCTGCAACACTTTCGACAGCCTTTGAAAAGCCATTTGGGTCGACCTCTGCAGCTGGATCGTGTCTATGCTGCACGTTGTACAATCGCAGCCTTTGATCGTAACGTAGGCTCGTAGCGAAAAGCCTTTTGTCGCGCAGGGTCCGGAACACCATAAGAAAAGGACACAACAGGGTACCCCCACAGTATTCTGCTTTGCGCTGGGCTTCATGCAGCGTTTTCCTATTGTTGTGTTTTTTGTGCATACCTTCCTCCAAGTTCTCAAAGAAAAAACAAGTGGCAACGGGTTCAAGTTGGCCAGATCCGCGGCCTTATTTTGCTTGCCGTTTTTGACGCTAGAAACCGGCTTCAACTAGTGGCCTCCCCTGTAGGACCGAGTGCGGAGCTGCCGTCGACGAGGCCTGTTCACGCCAAATTAAATGCACTCTCGTTTGCCGTGCTGCTCTCCGGGTGGGACCCGGCCAAAAAAATAATGGCCAGAGCCCCGACCACGCCAAAAGAAAAAGTTGTTTGGGCTTGCCCCAAGCAAATTCATTTCCAAAAAGCTCGCATTTTTGAATGTGGATCAGCGGGAGTGCAATAGCTGTTGTTTCCAAGTCAGTCGCAATTCCTGCCAGTCTTTTGTTGCCGTTGGTTTTGCAAAGATTTTGACCATTTTGTTTACATCAAGACATGTACTGTGGACCGGTGTCGATGTGGTCATGAACGAGGCGATTCTGCTTCGCTCGGGACGCTTTGCTTTATTTGGGGTCAAAGGCTGTCACAAGAGACTTGCCAGAGATCACTTCTACCTGGTTCCACGGCTTAGCTTAACCAGCTATGTTGGACGGAGCAGCACCACTGCAAGTGATGGCGATCAACATGTTTTGAGTGCTGACGTGAACTTAGTGACTAGCTGTCTGACACTGGATTCATGGTTGTCGCCGAGAATTTTTGCTGCTTTGAAATTCCTGCACCTCTCTCCTTTTGTTACCGTGGGAAACCATGGTCAGACATGACCTCCTTGTAAGACATAAATTGCCGATTCACTTCCAAGCTAAGCCCTTTTTGTTTCACCAATCCACATGTATACCCTCACATGCCTGCTGGTTTTGCACTTCCCCTACCACCAGCGTCATCATTGTAAGGCCGGAAATGGCGCGCAGTGCTCCTGGCTGCGCTCGGCAGTTGCATGCGGTTTCGTTTTTTTGCTTGCCCCAAAGTCGAGCGGCGATCCAAAAGCCAGTGAGATCGGCCCAAGATGCGCCGAACATTGGCACTGTTGTCCTAACTACTGTCAGCTATGCACACAGTAGCTGCTGACTTGAGTCGTTGACCATCGGATTTGAAAAAACTGACACGGCTTCTGGGCATGGATGTAAGGACAATGGCTTTTGTCCAGCTTCAACCCAAGGTCACGCCCAGCAGTTTGAGCTTCGATTCAGAACTGAATTCAATATCCGATGACCCGCAAGCGTTTCATGATTATCTTTCTGCCGGTGATGAAGAAGAGCCTTGATTGACATCCCTGGTGGCTCAGTTGGGCTTAGATATCGGCCTGCCATTGCACCTGCTTCCCCTTGTGCTCCTCTGCTTCAAAGCAAGCGGTGGCAGGCCGAACTGACCGGTATGAAGGACTTTTCCAGGTTCACGAAGACATTCAGGGTCGTCATGCGCCTGACAGGCAGGCGCGATGGAGGCAACGGAGACGGACCCCAGCAAGTTCATGCCAAACAGCACGCTTGTTTCTCAAACTTGTGTGGACAGTATGTATATTGCATGATTGTGAATCTTGCTGATGCATGCAATTCCTCAAAGTCGAGGTCAAGCAGCGGCGAGCCTCAAGCGCTTACGCTTCACTGGACGTTAGGTATCAACAAGGCTGCCAACGATGATTTGCTAAAGCTGAAGAGACATGCAGAGAGCGAGAGAGAGAGAGATAGATCGTGCCTGCGCACTCGCTTTGGTCAGGACGTCGTTGGCGGTGTGCACAACCTTTCAGATGCAGAATCTTCTGACATGTTCTACGCCGCTGCTCACACGGGCGTCATCTTCGACTATAACACCGGGGTGGGCCATTCTTCATTGCCCATAGTATTTGTGAGTGTGTGGATTGTTGTGTTCTTTTTGACAGGTCCAGCGGCTGCTGCAGGGCCACGTGAATCCAATCTCGGCCACAGCCGTCTCGAAGGTAAATGCCTTGACACCAGGAGGTACCAAGTGTTTGCTGTGTGATGTGTGCGCAGGACAAGAAGTGGATTGTGACCGCAGACACCGGTCCAGACAGCATGATGGTCGTTTGGGAGCGTGAGCACCAGTCTGAGGATCCCTGGAGTCTAGTTCAGAGATCGAGTTCAACCTTCACTCTGGCGAATTTAGCCATCCGTGCCGTGCAGGGTCTCGTGTGGCAGTTGGCAAGGTCTGGAACACCGGTCAAGACGTTCTTCAATCCGCATCCGTGCGCTCGGGGCGACATGTGGGAGCGCGCGAAACACGAAACGTCGGCTCAATCGGGTGGAATGCGCTTTTGCTGACAGGTATGGTGTTCACGCTCTAGATATTGCACCCAAGCTGCAGTACCTCGTCACGCTGTCAGCGTCTGCACCTTAGTCTGGCTCCTCCACAAGCTCAAGGAGGAAATGACTCCAATCTCCCTTAGGAATGTACCTTAAATCATATGAGGGGTCCTACTACACTTCAAGGTATATTTCTCAATTAAGGGATTTTGGAGTCTCTGGAAAAGACGAAGTGACAGCCAGGCCCATACCCAGCAGTGACCCCATGGCTTCCACAGCCGGTCAGGCCATGGTCTTTTGCCTTTTGGGGGTCTGGGTGTGCAGAGTGCTGGCAGTGTGCCGATGTCCAGCATGCATACATATATGTATATATATATATATATCTATATATCTATATAACTATATATATATATATATCTATATATATATATATATCTATATATCTATATATCTATATATCTATATATATATATATATATATATATATGTAGATAGTTGTGTGAATTTAATACTTCTCTCATATATATAAATATATATAAATATATACATATATATATATATACATGTATTCATCATATATACATATATATATATATATATATATATATATATATATATACATGCACATACTGAGCGATGGTGCCCGCAGCAATTTGGCTTTGGCGGAGCGGGTCCAGCCAGGAGGGGATTCCGTCCGTGTAGGCGGGTGCCTTGGCCGGGGGGCCGGGCGACGGGCGAACCATGACAGGCCAGGGCTCGGGTACTTAAAGGATCATGGGACTTAGTATATAGTATATAGGCTTATAATTAAGGTAACTGTACTTATAACTACTTATAACCTCAATTCAGGTACTTATAAGCTTACGTACTAAGTCCCATGATCCTCCAAGTAGGGCTGGGGTATGGATTCATGCAGAGACTTGCAGAAATCCTGATCTTCCATTCCGACAGATGGAATGCTGCGCTCGCCGACCTTCTTGGTTGGAGCAGAAAGGCGGTTGTTGCAGTGGAGCCGTTGTAGCATCGAACTCGAATCGAAATCTGAAAGGGGAATCTCTCGTGAGGCAAAGGAAGAACTTGGACGAGTTCAAACGCCGCGAGCAGCAACTGGCGGAGGCGTCATGCGACATGATCTCTTATAGGAGTATGTTGCCGTGAGGTCTTGAGTCTTGATATCAGATGCCTAAGCTCTTACTGCAGCTGCTGTCCCCATGCCGTTGCTGCATCTTCCACAGCCTCTGATCCAGCTGTCGCAGCGACCTCACATCCGCGACCGCAGCGAACGGCGCCAGGACAAACCCGACCATTCCATCACCCTGATCATCATCATCAGCATCGCAGCTGCCACCACTGCTGCCGCTACTGCTCACCACTACCATATCTTTAATCATCACGTCCGCTGCCACCATTGCCACCATTACCACCAGTACCACCACTAGCACCACTCACACGACTGTCCTGCAACCATTGCTGCTACTGCTATTTCTGCTGCTGCCGCTCCCAATACCGACTAAAGAACTTTCTCAGGCAAAAACGACTCGGTCAAGAAGTCCAAGACTCACTTGTTCAAAAAGCTTTATAGGACCCATATAGAATAGTATAGAAGCCGTTAAAACCGCTATTCGTATCATCAAGGCCCTACTGTATGGCAGCAGGTATAGCTTTGCTTCCGGTTTCCAGAGAGCCTGCTTGTCAACTCGTTCTTCTAGGAGGTTCCTCGAAGAGGGTTGCGCAAAGACAGCCCAAATCCTAAACCCTCAAAGACACCCCAAGGCCCTAAACCCCAAACCCAGATTCTCCTGACCCATGTGGTCTTTCGTCGTATGTGTGTATTGGATGACTGATTGTCTGATGTATGGATGGATGGATGGGTGGGTGGCCGGCTGGCTGGCTGGATGGATGGACGGATTGATTCCTGGGTTGATTGACTGAGAGTGACTTGACTGTTGACTTAATTTGAGATTGGATGGTGTTTGCTGCTGTTGCCGGTACCGGATTGCTAACTGCAGTCATGTGCAGAGATTAAAGTCTATCCACGTCAATTAGACGATCCGGTGTGGTGTGCTGGCCTTGCAAATCGGCATGCCACATGGCCCCACACCAAGACTTTCATCGCTACAGCCGCTCGCACAGACATCGCCACTTGCACTCTCACTAACGCAACTCACCACAGTCTCTGCCTGCGCAGCTCCGATTTTTCACATGCCGCTGCGCTTGCCAGTCTGAGCAGTCTGCGTGAATAGACGCTGAACAAGCAGAGGAGCTATTGCTGTGCTTGTAGTCCGACAGAATGCACTCTGCACTCGGTTCGCATGGGAAAATTGCAGGCGTACCACAAGAACAAGCCGCTGTGCTTCAACGCCTGCTCTTACCAGAAGACGCATCCCGTGAAAGCCCAGAAGGGGCACAAGGCGCTGCGGGCCGTGGCTGTGCGCGATGCCCTAAAGTGCTAGAAAGTCCAAGCAGCAGTTCGGCAGTATAAGCAAAGCATTTGGTGCGTTGCCAGGATGCAGATGCCTGCTTGACAGTGCCTCTCGTGCTCGGAGTTGCAGATGGCGTATCGCAAATCGAGGACCAAGTTTGGGATTGTGATCCGTGTTTCCTCTCGTCTCCGGCTGCTTGAATCCTTTGTTATGCTTGCTGTGGGCTGGAGCGCAGGACTTTGGCATAGATGCATCGATGTTGCCGAACGAGCTGTTGCAGGCGGCTCCATGGTAGCTGTCTGCGAAGATCATGTGACTGCAAGAGGTATCGATGAGAAAGATGAACAGGATAATGGTCATAACAATTAAGCTGATATCCTGAAGACGGTAGTTCTGGCGATGGTGGATGATTGCGCCAAGTTTCATGAGAAGGAAGCAGCTACCTTGGGAATGAATCTATGAGAGATAGGTGAGAAAAAGCGGGTGATTAACTGCCTGCCTGCCTGCCTGCCTGCCTGCCCCGCCTGCTGGATTGACCAGCTGACTGATTGAACCGATGGGACTGAGTGAATGAATGAACGACCCGATGGAGGACATATTAAATTTTCCAACTGAACGAAGGAAGCGTGGAAGGAAAGATCGAGTGGATGAGTTGTACATGTTAGGAGTTGGGGGTGAGGATGCTGACAATACTACAATGATGATGACGATGATGACGACAGCGACAGCCAGGTGTTGACCAAGCATACGATGGCATTTGGTGGGCATGAGCATGAAGAGGATAAGATGACTTTCACTGCTGGTGTCGGCGCTGATTGTGTTGCTGAATGACGACAACAACGCACAACAACAACACCAGCTACAACACCAACTACTACTGGTACTACTACTACTTCTACTACTACTACTACTACTACTACTACTACTACTAATACTACTACTACTACTACTACTACTACTACTACTACTACTACTACTACTACTACTACTACTACTGCTACTGCTACTGCTACTACTACTTCTACTACTACTAGTACTACTAGTACTACTAGTACTACTAGTACTACTACTACTACTACTACTACTACTACTACTACTACTACTACTACTACTACTACTACTACTACTACTACTACTACCGTTGATGGACAAAATCCTGCAGCATCCATATCAAGTAATATGCCATGATTCCCATAGTTGAGGGTCCTTGGGGCAATGCAGGATTTTGTCCATCAGTACTAGTACTACCACTACCACTACTACTACTACTACTACTACTACTACTACTACTCCTGCTGCTGCTACTTCTGCTACTACTACTACTACTACTACTGCTGCTACTACTACTACTACTACTACTACTACTGTTACTGTCACTGTGAAATTGCTGTTCTGTCACCGTCACTGTTACTGTTTGCTGTTATTTCTTCTACTGCTACTGCTACTGCTACTGCTACTGCTACTGCTACTGCTACTGCTACTGCTACTGCTACTGCTACTGCTACTGCTACTGCTACTACTACTACTACTACTACTACTACGACTACTACGACTACGACTACGACTGCGACTGCGACTGTGCTCCGACTCCGACTACGACTACGACTACGACTACTACTACTCCAACTACTACGGCCAATACTACTACTCCTCCTCCAGCTACCACTGCTGCTCCTACTGCTGCTGCTGCTGCTACATCGCCACCACAACCACTACGACTACCACTGCCACTGCCACTGCTACCACTACCACTATCGCTGCCACTGCCACTGCCACTGCGACGACCGCGAGCACGATTACTGGCACTGCACCCGCAACCCACTGCCACAGCCACTGTGACTGCCATTACGATTACCGCTACTACTATTACTACGGCCGACTAGAACGACTAGAACGACTGACACGACCAGGAGGACTGGTAGGACTAGTAGGACTAGTAGGACAAGTACGACCAGTGCGACTAGTACGACGACGACGACATCTTCTACTACTACTGCGGCTGCCTCTACTACTACTGCTACTGCTGCTGCTACTGCTACTGCTACTGCTACTGCTACTACTACTACTACTACCACTACCACTACCACTACCACTACTACTACTACTACTACTACTACTACTACTACCACTACCACTACCACTACTACTACTACTACTACTACTACTACTACTACTACTACTACTACTACTACTACTACTACTACTACTACTGCCACTATTACTGCTCCCGCTACTGCTGCTACTGCTGCTGCTTCTACTGCTGCTGCTTCTGCTACGACGACTACGCTACGACTCCTTCGACTACATCTATTGCTGCGACGACGACGGCAGATGCTGCTACTATTTTTGCTGCTACTTCTTCTACAACTTCCTTTATGCTTCGGGTCTTTCTGCTCCTACTTTGATGCATTCTCGTGGAAAGTGTTCCTTTGAGTTGTCATCGAGGTACAGGCGTCGTCGTCGTTGTTGTTTGCGCCTTTTGAGGTGGTTCTCGTAGTTTTGTTGGTGGCGCTAGCGTTGGTGTTGGTGTTGTGGTTGTTGCTGCTGACGCTGCTGGTGCGATTTGTGCCGTTACCATTATTGCCATGTTTGCCAATGCTGTGACTTTCATGCGCAGCAAGGATAGACCCATGAGCATGCATGTCAAATAACACGGAATTGAGTCCTGCCACCAGAACTGGTGTTGCAATGAACATTCTTGCCGTCGCTACTAAGTACATTTATAGTGCAGGTCTTGATCCGATTCGTATGAAGGTTTCGTTGATGTTACAGTTGCTGATTCGCTGATCCTTCCTGTATTCGTGAACCGGTAGTCTGCAACGACAGGTAGTGGAGCAGTTGGGCATGCACCAGCTGATTCCAGGGGCGAGGCTGCCATCCGCGGACACCTACAGGGGACCCGTCTCCATGCTTCGGAGGGCTTTCGAGGCGACAGAGAGCCTGGGCTCTTTGACCGTGGTACTGGCGGTCATGGACAACTCAACACGCATCCACGGCAAGCTGCACCCCATGATCGCAATCATCACCATAGGCGATTGCGAGCTGATTGTGCTGCGCAGGGTGAAGGGAGCCCGGCAACCGCTTGAGATCGTGTGCCACACGGAGATGCAAAGAATTGATGGCCACGCCCAGACACCTTTGCAGCTTGCTCGGGTGGATGCCCGAATTGATCCAAACTTTCACGAGGCCCTCACGATCGAAGTGATAGAACGAGGTAGCGCAGTTCACTGCGTCTCTGCATACGAGGGTGACATTGTCATCATGGGCAGTGACGGAGTGTTTGACAACCTCTACCTGGACGAAATCATGGAGTTGGCAAACGCAATGCTGCCTCCAACTCAGGCCGGCCAGCACTTCTCTGAAGCGCAGATGAAGGCCCTGGCCCAGCAGATTGTGGAGGCGTGTCACGCAAAGACTCGCCCCGGTCCAATGGGGCAGCTTCGGGAAGCCCCGATTGGTCGCGGAGGCAAGAAGGACGACACGTCCTGTGTAGTGGCGGAAGTTGTTGAGTGGACGAAGGAGCATGCCAGGGTCTGGGCGACTCCAGACGACGGCTTCGGCTGGACCTCCATGATGAACAACTTCTTCCCCCTGAACTTGAATGGTTGCTGTGTGGCTTCATATGACTCCGATGACGAGGTGGATTTGCGAAAGCCAGCCTCCAAGAAGCCAACGAACTTCCAGAACGAGATGCAGAGTGGAGGTCACAACGGACAGTGGAACGGACAGCCGAGAACCAACGGCCTCAGTATGCCCCCCTCCGCACCCAGCTCAGCACAAAATCCCTCCAACTATCCTTACCCGTCAACATCCAGCATACCACAACCAATCCCCCCACCGGACCAACAAGCTCGGCCAGTCCAGCCGGTCCAGCCGGCCCAGCACGCCCAGCAAGCCCAGCAGGCTCAGCAAGCCCAGCAGGCCCAGCAGTTGCAGATGCAGATGCAAATGCAACAGCAGCTCCAACAACAGCAGCAACAGCAGATGCCGATGCAATATTCATCAGTGAATCCATATTCAGCGTATGCAAGTCCGTATGCTCAGCAGCCCCAACAACCACTGCACCTAAGAAGCAAAGAGTTCTGAAAGCAGCCACAAAGTCCCATATAACATGCAGTCATTTGTGTAGCTGCATTTGTACTTCAGGTATTCCGGTGGCCAAGCAAGCAGCGCCGGTATCTGGGTTGCAGAATTCACAGCTAGAGTGAGCGAAGCCTTCGATTTGCATGTCCAGGGTCTGCATCAGCTTGCCGTCCAAAAAGCCCAGCTTGCGAGGTTATGGTTACGCGGCCGGAGGCTATTCGGGAGTGCCCACCAATCCAGTGTATGGCCGGCTGCCGAGAGACTCTGGTGCAAAGCCATTGAGGGAACTCTGAACCCCAGATCCCACAACTGCAGTGTGTTTTCCTGAGGCAGTTACGGTGGCTGCGGCGCTTACGGTCGGTATGGCTGATCTTTGGATCGCTTCTCTGTCGTCTCAAAGGTCTGAAGTAAAGCAAGCTGGGACATGGCTTTTGGATTCTGTCTAGGAGTCTGTTTGAGACGGCACAGCTAGGAGGTTCGACAGTGTAAGAGTCAGCCACAATCACTGCTGACTGTAAAATTAAGTTTGTGCAAAGCCTGGAGAAAGCCTTCCAGAGCGAGGATGTCATGTCGTCCGTGCGGCTTGAAGCACGGACTGCCGGAGATGCTTCGTTCGGGGCTTGCCTTCCAGCAGTTTCACTTTATAGTGCAACATCCCGATCACTCGAGCGGGCTGTGCGGATAAACACGCGAAGTGATGCTGCATGCATTTTTTCGGCAGATGTGCTACGATCACATCAAGCGGGAGGCATCCACGGATTCCGAACCCCCCAAACTTCCCTAGCATCCTGAACGACACCAACAAGCTCACGGAAACACCCAAAGCCCTAAACCCGCGGAAGCCCTAGACATACACATGCACAATGCGCATACACAGACGCCTAAACGTCTACACCCACCCCGAACCCTAAACCTTAAACCCCAAGCCCCAAAATCCAAAACCCTAAACCCCCAAACCCAAAACCCTAAACCCTAAACCTCAAAACCCCTTAACCTCTAATCCCGAAGCCCCAAAAAAGCCATCAAAAAAAATCCTCTTCGCAGGCCCCAGACTCGACCAGCCGAGTGACGGAGCACGGGAAGAGCCAGAAAGAGCCTGGGGAGTCCCAGGCGCTAAACGGGTTCTTAAGGGTTATATATATATATATGCATATAAGTATATATATATGTAAGTATATATATATATGTATATAAGTATATAAGTATATATATATAAGTGTATATATATATATATATATATTTATAAAGAAGGGTTTTCTTTAAAGGGATCTGTAAGGGTTTTAGGGTTTGGGGTTTGGGGTTTAGGGTTTTAGGGTTTCAGGGGTTGGGGGTTTGGGGGTTCAGGGTTTAGAGTTCTAGGGTTTTAGAGGTGTAGGGTTTGAGGGTTTAGGGCTTTCAAAGATTCCTGATCCTGTGGTTCTGAGTCCTGCTGCGGTGTGCTGCTTGCCAGGACTATCAGACCATCTCCGTTTGGGATTGGCCTTCCGACAACGACGGTCCAGTTTGCACTGCAGCGGTGGGGACGCAGGACTACCTAGGGTTCCTTTAAGGGATCTATAAGGGATCTATAGGGTTTAGGGTTTAGGGTTTAGGGTATAGCCGAGCCCCATGTGAAGGAAATGAAGCAAGTAGGAATTTCTTCTGTCATTCCTCGAATTCCTTCTGTCATTCCTCACCCTAAACCCTAAACCCCTAAACCCTCAACCCCTAAACCCTAAACCCCCAAACCCTAAACCTCTAAACTCTAAACCCCTCATTAAACCCCTAAACCGAGAGGATGTGCAAACTTGTGTTCTCTTCAACGCCTGGGACACGCACGAGATCGCAACCAATGGTCCGGGACTCAAGTTGTGGCCTTTGCGATGACGTCCAAGTCCCAAGCTCAAGGAATACCTAGGGTTCCTTTAAAGAGATCTATAAGGGATCTGTAGGTTTTAGGGCTTAGGGGAACTAATATCCCCTAATCAAGGAATATACCTTAAATCATTTCATGGATTCTACTCTATTTTCAGGTATATTCTTGAATAAAGGGATATTGGAGTCTCTGGTTTCTTGTTAAGGCATTTAATTTAAGTTGCCATAATCATGAAACCGCATCTATGTACTATAGATCCCTATTATTTTAACGTAAAGTCCTTAACAAGACTTAACAAGAACCTACAGTCATCTGGCTCCAGGGAAGCGCCGAGTGTTCTTTTGGACCTGGGACGTGGAGCAGCCCTTCCAGGCCATGTTGTGCAGCTGTTTGCGAGTTTACGCTGTTCGCGAGTTTGCGATTCCATCTTATGGGTCTGTAAGGGTTACTTACTTCAAGAATTACTAGAAGGGAGTACTGTACTTTCTATGAAGAGGTGGCTATAAGGATCATTGCGAAGATCTTGAGTGTTTTCTTCAGAAACAGCAACAGTACCCTAGTACGATTGCTTCGTACCAGTACGCGATAAAGGTACCCTGTACAGTGCCCTTTAAAGCGGACCAACAGAACCCTACTACTACTACCCCTCCTCAACTCTAGAAGCCCTGAACGCTTAACCCTCAACCCTAGAAGCCCTACCCTTCAACCCAGAGACACCAAGACCCTTAATTACGAAATAGACTTTCAATTATAGACGGCTCCCCAACATGATTCAAGGTATATTCCTTAATCAAAGGATATTGGACTCTCTGGGAAGCGGAACAACAGTCGATCCTAACCTTAAACCCTAAGCCCCTAAAGGACCCCTTATAGATCCCATAGATCTTGCAACAAGAGCCAGCAGCCGTCGATCCCCTTTAGAACCCTGAATGGAACCCTTATTATAGACCCCTTAAAGGAACCCATATTCTGGTAACTCAAATTAACTTCCCTTAGCAACCCAGCAGCAGTCGATCCTAACCTTAAACCCTAAACCCCTAAACCCCTAAAGGACCCCTTAACCTTATAGATCCCATAGATCCCATAAATCCCGCAACAAGAGCCAGCAGCAGTCGATCCTCTATAGAACCCTTGACGGAACCCTTACAGATCCCTTAAAGGAACAATATTCTGGTAACCTAAATTAGCTTCCCTTACCAACCCAGCAGCAGTCGATCCCAGTTCTACTCGCCGGCTTTGGCGCCTCGGGACTTCAAGCAGCGAATCGGAGATTACACGCAGCTTGGCAACCAAAACCCCAAAGCCTAAGCCCCAAGCCCTAAACTCAAAACCTTAAGCCCTAAACCCTAAACCCCAAACCCTAAACCCTAAACCCGCAACCCCAATTTATGCCTTAGGCCTTCTATCCTAGAAGGCCCCGTAGCCTATACCTTGCACAGAGGCATCCTGGGCGTAGGTCTTCGGGCTTGGCTTCGGGTTTAGGGCTTAGGGCTTGGGGTTTGGGGTTGCCCTAAACTCTGCACCCTAAACCCTAAACCTGCCCAATTTGGGCTGTCTGTAGCAAAGCTATTTGCAGACGGAAAAGGGCCTTCAAAAAGAAAAAAACCCTAAACCAAATAAGCTTCAATCATCCGTGCCAGCGGCCGCGCAACACTTCGGCCGAGGCAGACCATCTTTCTACCAGAGTCTACCCAGGCAGGCCGTTTCTCCGTGGTTTCTTTAAACCTCCTGATATGCATGTATATATATACACATACATATACATAAATACGTATATACATATATACACATAGACACACACGCATCTATATATATATATATATATGTATATGTATATGTATATATGTATATGTATATGTACACATAGATAGTATATATATATACATATATATATATATATATACATATGTATATATGCTGGAACCAGGCTGCCACAGGGACGATCGATGGTGACGTGGTCATCTGGGACCTGTCGCTGATTGCCGGGCGCTAGTGATGTGGCTGTCGCTTGAGATTGGTACGTAGCTTTGGAGTCAGGTGCTTGAGATCACCGATTCCCGAGGTAGATGGATTGAGCCGCCCGGATGAGAGACGGGCCGTCAAAATCATCCGGCTTTGCCCAGATGTGTCCTTAAATGCTCAGAGCTTATGATGCTTTGTGTTACCCGCGGATGCCTAGGCCGACGTTTCACGAAGGTAATTCTCTCAAAGCATTCCTAAGCTGCAGGTCCTTCAAGTACACGAGAAGGTCCTGGCCTCGCATGCTTAAAGGTGTGTCTTTCTGGGTTCTTGTTACGGACTTTGAATGAAGTTACCAGAATCGGGAAGCATACTATTTGTTATAGTTATAGATCCCCATATACTATTTACTATAAATCCGATTTATGGTAACGTAAATCAAGTTCTTCGACGAGAACCCAGTATTTGTTGGGGCATGGCGCTGTGAGGCACGTGTTGTTATTGGCACAGCTGATGGAGCCGTCCGCTTCTATGACTATCAGTTCAGGGCCTTTGCCTCAGAGTCTGTCTCCGGCGTCTAGGCACTTGGCTTCTGCATCTGTGACGGATGCAGTGTGGGCTTAAGGGCCCTCCAAGGCGCACTAGATTGGTCTGTCCTGTGTCATGAGAACCCCATGGATTCAGCGGCCGTGGATGCTATCCACGGATGCAACCAGCGGGCTCCCTGCGTGGAGTTCATGCATGGCCTGCTTTCCAAGCCACTGCGGCTGGAACAGAGAGGAGCCACATCGGGAGATTTCGTTCAAGGAACTTCCTCGGTGATCTGGCCGGCTGCCAGCCGCCTGGCCGAGTATCTCTGCGACCATCCCGAGCTGCTACGAGACAGAAGCGTCCTGGAGCTCGGGGCGGGTTTGGGCCTCGTCGGCGCGGCGTGCGCTGCCGCCGGTGCCAAGCCTTACCTTTGGTTAGTAGGGAATGGAAGAATGGTAGTACATAATAGTAGTTATAATTGTATCCCATTCCTGCATTCCCTACTACCCTAAATCCTAAACCCCATTCCTCCATTCCCTACTAACCAAAGGTGCCAAGCCGGTGCTGGTGACGGATTGCGAGCGGGCGCTGCCCCTGCTGGAGCGGAATCAGGCGCTGCTCGCCGAGGAGAGGGCGACCGGGATCCCAGAGACTCCAATATACCTTACTTAAGGAATGTACCTTAAATTATATTAGGGATCCTACTACAATCTAAGGTAGATTCCTTAATCAAGGGATATTGGAGTCTCTGGATCCTCTCCGAAATCAGCGTGCAGCAGTGAGAGTCACAGATCCTCTGACTGCAGGACTCAATCATCCTGAAGGTGTCGAGGCACCGATGTTTCGGGGGTTCACTCGCCTCTGCGTGCCCAGAGACTCCAATATCCCCTAATTGAGGAATGTACCTTAAATGATATTAGGAATCCTATTATAATTCAAGATATATTCCTGTTTTGAGGGATATTGGAATTCCCTAAACCCCAAACCCGATAGATCCCTTTAAGGACCCCGAGGTATCCCTTAGTTAAGGTATTCTAGAGTGTCTGGGTGGCAGGCTGGAGTGGGGTCTGGCAGAGGACCACGCTCGAATCCTGGAAGGCCCTTGCCTTCACGGCCCCGGAAGGGGGGGGGGTGGATCAAAACCCACGGGTCTTTGGGATCTGTTTTTCGGATTTTCAGGTTTTGGGGTGGATCTTAAAATCATGATTGGACGTTCTTCATAATTTTGGGAATCTGCCTTAGGGGACTAAAAGGGGCCCATACAGCAATTTTGATCAGTCTCTCGTGCTATGCTGCACCCTAAACCCCAAAACCAAAACCCTTAACCCCAAAACCCCAAAACCCCCAACCCCAAACCCCAAACCCCAAACCCAAAACCCTAAACCCTAGAACCCTTGCACTTAAAAAAAACCTAGAACCCTAAACCGTAAACCCTGCAGATCATCCCGGCGGCTTTGATCTCCTCCTCGGGAGCGACATCATCCTATCTTCCTTCGAGCTGGACACCGCGCTCTTCAGAGACTCCAAAACCCCTTAATTAAGGAATACCTAGGGTTCATTTAAGGGATCCTTTAAGGGATCTATAGGGTTTAGGGTTTAGGGGGTTCTGATATCCTTGAATTAAGGAATATACCTTAAATTATAAGAGGATCCCTTCTATGATTGAAGGTATATTCCTTAATTAAGGGGTTTTGGAGTCTCTGGGTCTTCGCGGTTTTTTGAGCCCCGAAGTTCCCTGAGCGGCCCGACCTAAATCTCTAAACCACCAAAGCCATCAAAGCACTCTGAACCCTAAATCCCGAATCCTAGACCCCTAAACCATCAAAACCTTCTAAACCTTGGCTAGCCTGAATTTCCAAAAAATCTACGGCGAACGCGGCAGGACAAGCTCTTCGAAAGCTGCCGGGCACTCCTGGCTCGCTCGCCTGATTCCAGGCAGCTTTCATGCTGTTGATGGACAAAATCCTGCACTACCCATTATGAGGAATATACCATAATTCCCATAGTTTAGGGTCCTTGGGGTAATGCAGGCTTTTGTCCATCAACAGTACTGTTGATGGACAAAAGCCTGCATTACCCCAAGGACCCTAAACTATGGGAATTATGGTATATTCCTTCTTATGGGTAGTGCAGGATTTTGTCCATCAGCCGTAAGAGTCCCGTGAGGCGGTTTGTAAGGTTTCTGGTTTGGGGTTCTGGTTTAGGGTTTAGCCATCAAACAGAAACCTTCTGCTGCACGGAGAGAGCCACATCTATCGTGTAACATGTGGGAGTTTCCGAAAATGGGGGACCAATTTAAAAAAAATACCCTAACTAGTAGGATTCTCACTACAAAGACCCCCAGATTAAGGTAACCCTCATTTGCAGAAACTCCCACATGGGTGGTTGTCAAAACTAGGGTCTCTTTTTGGGTCCCTGTTATAATACGCCACCTAATATGTAGAGTACCCAAAAAGGGACCCCAATTTTGACAACCACCCATATAGCCCCATTTAGTAGCAGCAGCCTGATCGAAGATAGCATGGTGCCCCATTCCGCCCCCGCCCGAAATCCTAAACCCCTAAAGCCCGTGAATTCCTAAAGCCTTAAAATCGTTAAACAATTTCAAAAATCCTTAAAATCCCTAGACCCCCCAAAATCCCTTAAAATCCCCTTAAAGTCCACTCAAGCCCCTTCAAAGCCCCTTTTAAGAAATCCTCCGGGCCCTGCGGGGAGGCTCCTGCTGGCCTTCGAGTTCCGCGAGGACTGGGAGTCGATTGGGAACTTCATCGCCTGGGCGGAGGAGGCCCGGGGCCTGGCTACTATAAAGGGGGTCCTTCAAGGGCTACTATAAAGGGGTCTATAAGGGATACTCTAAGGGATCTATAGTAAGGGCCCCTACTGCGTGAGCTGCATGGGTGGTTGTCAAAATAGGCAGCCTTTTGCCCTTTCTCTTTTTGGGTTCCCTGTCTGAAAGGGCACCTTCATCATCAAGGGGCTATGCGTGAACCTAGAAACTGATATTATAGTCTATGTTATACTCTAATGTACTACAAGCCACTATAACACACAACAAGTTTCAGTGACTTATAGTATAGTATGTTGTAGCATATCAGAGTATGATCTATATCGGTGGTTGTCAAAATCATGGTCCCTTTTTGGGTCCCGAATATTGTACGGCACCTAATATTTTGGGTACCCAGAAAGGAACCATAATTTTGACAACCACCCACATATATATATATATATATCAGTATCTTTGAGTGTGGTCTAGTATAGGTTCGTTGTCTTATACTATGTTTCAGCACATCCTACTGTATTGTTGCGTGTGTTCTAGTATATCAATAAATTTATAGAATGTTGCGCCCTTGGACAGGGAAATTCCGAGCTTCAGCTGCTCCCTTTTGGGGGGTGAGCTTTCTGAATCCTTTCCTGACTTAGCTGAGGTGGGTATGGAGGTGTGCCACCAGGAGCTGGGAGGCCGCCGTTGGGAGTTTTCGAACGTAGGAGACCACAAGAAAGTACCCTAAGTAGTAGGATCCTTATTACAAGGACCTCCAAATAAGATACCCCAAATTTTCGGAAATCTTGGGGGATGCCATGAGTCTGCTTTTGCTTGTTTTGGGCAGATCCGGACGACGAGATCTACCTCTACACGTTCCGATGGAGGGATTGAGGCCCTCACACTCTGCAGAGCCGCTGACCGTGAGCTTCCCCAACCTTCAAGATGCGAGTCGAGACCGTCTCGCACGCAACCGATCTCCACGCACTTCTCGTGCTTTGGATGGGCTCTGGTCAGGTCTGCATGGTGTGCCCGTGGAGTGCGCGAGATGCCCGTGCGTGGGCTCTGTCTGATGGCTGGAAAGCTGGCGCGAGACCGTCGCTGCAGCCAAGGAACAAAAAGGGCTCGTGGTTTTGAAGCTCATTTCATCGCTTAGTGATTGCAATGTTTGGCCTGGCCATGGGTGCCTGGGCTGAGGTGCAAGCATGGTTCGAAGACCTCTTGGCTGGATCTGTGAAATCCATCTCTTTTGAGAGGGCCAACGAAGATGGAGAGGAGCCAGCAGACTCAGTGCTAGCAGTGTCGTCCATGCTATACTGCCAGAAGCTGCCTGTAGTTTCCCCTAAACCCTACTTAAAGGATCATGGGACTTAGTATATAGTATATAGGCTTATAATTAGGGAAACTATACTTATAACTACTTATAACCCCAATTCAGGTACTTATAACCTTACTTACTAAGTCCCATGATCCTCCAAGTATACTCTTAGCAAGTCTACAGCAGATCCGACTCCGGAGTCGGGGCATGCTGCCCCTTGCAGGACTACGAGCCCACCGGAATCAGCGCTGGTGTCGGGGTAGAGGACAGTGTAGTATTTTTAACAGCGACACAGAACATTCTCCATGGAATCCCGGGTCAGTGTTTCGTCAAGGGCTTCTGAGATTCTGTGACTGTCGTGGCCCGTGAGGACGACTTCAAGTGCCCCAACTTTCTAGTGAGCACAGGCAGGGTCGTGCAGCCGGCTGTGTCCATGCTGCGAGCACACATGCATATATGCAAATAGAAAACCGTCCGCTGCGGCGAGCGAATCATCCAAGAAGAGAGTGTGATCAGATGCTTGATGATAAGCGGACATATATTTCATACATATATATATATATACACACTCGTATACATCCACATACATACATATGGTACCCCCCCCATTGACCTACCCTTTTTGGTGTTTTTGAAAGGCAAGGGTGGGTCGGGGCGGGGTGTACCCGAATGGAGCGGCGTTCCCAAAGACCTAGTTTCTTAAAAGACTCAATCTTTCGGAGGTCGAGGGAGACTGTATCCAAAACCAAAAAAATTCAGGCCTCGCAGCACCTTGGAACTCTGGGCGCTGCAAAACACTGAGAGGCCTCAATCTTTTGGAATCCCGAACCTCAGAAAAATTGAGGCCTCTCAGTGTTTTGCAGCTTCCAGATTCCAAAACACTGAGAGGCCTCAATCTTTTTATGATTTTGAAGCCAAAACGCTGGGAGGCACCAAAAGACTCAAAAGACTCAATCTTTTGGAGGTCTTGGGAAACTATAACCAAAATCAGAAAAATTGAGGCCTCTCAGTGTTTTGCAGCTTCCAGATTCCAAAACACTGAGAGGCCTCAATCTTTTGGAATCCCGAACCTCAGAAAAATTGAGGCCTCTCAGTGTTTTGCAGCTTCCAGATTCCAAAACATTGAGAGGCCTCAATCTTTTGGAATCCCGAACCTCAGAAAAATTGAGGCCTCTCAGTGTTTTGCAGCTTCCAGATTCCAAAACACTGAGAGGCCTCAATCTTTTTATGATTTTGAAGCCAAAACGCTGGGAGGCCCCAAAAGACTCAAAAGACTCAATCTTTTGGAGGTCTTGGGAAACTATATCCAAAATCAGAAAAATTGAGGCCTCTCAGTGTTTTGCAGCTTCCAGATTCCAAAACACTGAGAGGCCTCAATCTTTTGGAATCCCGAACCTCAGAAAAATTGAGGCCTCTCAGTGTTTTGCAGCTTCCAGATTCCAAAACATTGAGAGGCCTCAATCTTTTGGAATCCCGAACCTCAGAAAAATTGAGGCCTCTCAGTGTTTTGCAGCTTCCAGATTCCAAAACACTGAGAGGCCTCAATCTTTTGGAATCCCGAACCTCAGAAAAATTGAGGCCTCTCAGTGTTTTGCAGCTTCCAGATTCCAAAACACTGAGAGGCCTCAATCCTATTGATTCAAAGGCTAGTTTCCTAAGACCTCCAAAATATTGAGTCTTTTGAGTCTTTTGGGGCCTCCCAGCGTTTTGGCTTCAAAATCATAAAAAGATTGAGGCCTCTCAGTGTTTTGGAGCTCCCACAGTCCCAAAGTGCTGAGAGGCCTCAATCTTTTTGAGTCTTGAATCTCAAAAAGATTGGGGCCGCTCCAGGTTTTGCAGCTCTCACAGTTCCAAAGTGCTGAGAGGCCTCAATCTTTTGGAGTCTTGAACTTGGGGCCGAGAATATCTGGCCACATTAGTTTTCTGCTTCTGCTGCCTTTTTTTTTGTTTGTTTGGGGCCCTGGGCCCTGGTACTCTGTTACTCTCATACTCTTATACTCTATGACTCTATGACTCTATTACCCTATGACTCTATTACTCTCTTACTCCAAAAGCTCTATTACTCTAGTACTTTATTAGTTTATTACTCTGTTACTCTATTACTCTATTACTCTATTATTCTATTACTCTATTACTCTATTACTCTATTACTCAAATACTCTATTACTCTATTACTCTATGACCCTATTACTCTATTACTCTAGTACTCTATTACTCGATTACTCGATTACTCTATTACTCTATTACTCCCATACTCTATTACTCTACTACTCCACTAACTCTATTTATTACTCTATTACTCTATCTACTTTATTTCCTGTATGACTCTATGACTCTATTACTCTGCTACTACCCCTACTCCTACTACTACTACTACTACTACTACTACTACTACTACTACTACTACTCGTACTACTAATACTGCTATTGCTACTGTTACTGGTACTGCTTTACTATTACTATGCAGCACTATTACTATTACCATGACTATTACTATTACCATTACCAATGCATAAAGTCATGGAGCAAAGCCTGCGGGTCACGCGCTTCGCGCGCACTGTTCTTTGTACTATTACTCTATTCTTTATTACTCTATTGCTATTGCTCTATTGCTCTATTGCTCTATTGCTTTATTGCTTTGTTACCTTATTACTCTATTAGTCCTTTCGTCTTTTAGTCTGTTTAGTTTGTTTAGTCTATTAGTCTATTAGTCTATTAGTCTACTAGTCGATTAGTCTATTCGTCTATTCCTCTATTAGTACTATTACGATTACTTCTACTATTACTCTTACTATTACTTTTACTATTACTATGCAGCACTATTACTATTACCATTACTATTACTACTACCATTACCAATGCATAAAGTCATGGAGCAAAGCCTGCGGGTCACGCGCTTCGCGCGCACTGTTTCTTGTACTATCTTTCTTTCTTTATTACTCTATTGCTATTGCTCTATTGCTCTATTGCTTTATTGCTTTGTTACTTTATTACTCTATTAGTCTTTTCGTCTTTTAGTCTGTTTAGTTTGTTTAGTCTATTCGTCTATTAGTCTATTAATCTATTAGTCTACTAGTCTACTCGTCTATTCGTCTATTCGTCTATTCGTCTATTAGTCTATTAGTCTATTAGTCTACTAGTTTATTCTGTCTATTAGTCTGTTCGTCTATTCGTCTATTAGTCTATGATTGTATTACACTATTACTCTTTACTATTACCAGTACTAGTACTATCTATAACAAACACGCGAAAAAAAGCCACAGGTGCAAAAAAATAATGGCGACAAAAATAGGCCCTCCCTTGTCCATGCATCATTGCCACTCATTGCTCCTGAGACCCCCAACAAAGGTAGGTCAATGGGGGGGGGGTAGCATACATATATATATATATATATACACATGTATATGCACAAATTCACATATATATATATATACACACACATACATATATGTCTGCACAGACATGTGGACGCATGAGCTTGGTGCGTCGTGCTTGAGAGTGTAGAATGGGAGGCATCGTGCGAAGCTGTAGATTCTCCATGCGAACCTCAAAGTGGCCAAATAGCATCACACGCCGTTTGAGCATTGCTTATTATGCACAACATGTTTTGTCATAGTTTGTATAACTGCAACTAGATAGACGCGATTCGAAACGACATCTTAAAGTTTGAAAGTAATGTGCTGTACTTTGACGCAGTTTACATAGTCCTGGCTTTATCTGATGAACCTTAGTTCGCATCCATGCATGTGTACATGTGTCTGCTTGGCGAATTAGTTTGTTGGGCGGCTAGACATCTGATAGACTTTATAGCTGATCAACCTGTTGTTGAAGCGGGTTCTCAAAGTCATATTGTGCATCGACACATAGTAGATGAGCATGGAGTGTCTGACGAGAGAGAGGCTTTATGGATTGGAGGACCCACCATCATTGGTGGAGCGATGAACGGACTCCGGTCGATGTACGAAAGGTAAGCCCCACTGTAAGCTGTATGATATAGTAGGTTATAGTATGGTATAGTATGGTATACGATCATATACTCTCGCATGTTGTAGACTACATGACAGTATATTCTAAGTAGATTCTAGTATATTGGCCATCTCGATGGTTCGGCAAAGAGATGCTTGGAATTTGACGACCGGCCCGTGAGGCTCTGCTTTGGTCGTGCTGGTGGAGTCGAAGCTGTTCTATGAGCTTTCTCCGGACTGGGGTTTGGGGTTTGGGGTTTAGGGTTTAGGGTTTGGGGTTTAGGGTTTAGGGTTTGGGGTTTGCTGCAAGATTGCGTAGCGGTAGTGTAACAGGAGTTGTAGGATTTATTAGCGGTTTTGTTGCCTGCGAATCGCAGACATGGCCCGACTGTGGCGGGCCATCACATAACTCACACACCCCACGCCGTCTGAGGCGGCAAACCACCCAAACCTATACCTTTTAGGGTTTAGGACCTAAACTCTGTTAGGCCCATGTTGGTTAACAACAACCACACAATTCTGCAGCCAAGCTTCTGCTCAAAAAAGGCAGGGCAGAGGAGGGCAGAGTACGGCAGGAGGTGGGCCAGAGGGGCCCAGGCCAAGAAATCACCAGGAGGTCAGGGCCCGGCCAGGCCGGCGAGGGGGGCTAGGGGCCAGGGGGGCCGGGGGGCCAGGGGGGCCCAGGGGGGCCGGGAGGGTCAGGGGGGGCCAAGGGGCCAGGGGCTGGGTTTAGGGTAATAACTTGAAAAGGGAGCAGTATTGGAACCCGGGCCTAACGTGGGTGCTACAGTACCCCTTTCTGTGGGACGGCTGGATCGACCTGCGCCATCGATGTCGAGGGGCTTAAGCGCCGCCCACCATCGAAGGTGGGCGGCCTAGGCCTTGAGTTTAGGGTTTAGGGTTTAGGATTTGGGGTTTAGGGTTTAGGGTTTGGGGTTTAGGGTTTAGGGTTTAGGGTTTGGGGTTTAGGGTTTAGGGTTTGGGGTTTAGGGTTTGGGGTTTGGGGTTTAGGGTTTAGGGTCTAGCGTTTTCTAGCGTTTAGGGCTTTAGCTGGGGTGTGACCGACGTCAGCCTGTTGTCAGATGCAGTTTAGCGTTGGCCAGGCTCCACCGTGGTCTATGCTCATGCCGCATATAGAAAGCCGCGAGTACTGTACTTCAATAGAACATGCCTTAGTTAGTATCACAGCATTATGCGCAACGGCATACGATAGCATCCCATCGCATTGTTATGTACCATATACAATACAAGACACATTGCAACATTCAGGAGAATCGCAGAGGAAGATTAGTTCTTCAAGGACTCGACTCCCCAGCAACAGCCTCAGAGCATCGCAGAAGTGCTCGATTGTGTTTGCTTCCCGGTCTAGGCTTTAGGGGTGAGGGTTTTAGGTTCAGTGTTAAACCAAGGTGCATGGGCTCTGCTGCCACCCGCAGCTACCCTTGGTGGCCGTTTGTGGTGCGGCACCGGCATAGTCTGTCGTGTCCTTGACTGTTGGTTCATCCCATGGTCTCAGGCTATTCGGGCTTTCTTCACATGTGGAACTACAACACCAGGCCAGTAGCAGTGAAGTGAGGCAGGCAAGATACCGCACACAGGCGTCTCTGGATATCAGGTCCTTGCACTTGGTGAAGATCTTCGAGAAGCTCGTCCCGCACATGTGCGCCCGACAAGTTGGACGCTACTTGAGAGCAGTCGCCAGAACTTCTTCAGTTGACCGACTTGTTTCGCCAGACTCCAATTCTCCCCCGATGGGAAGCTCTTGGCTGCGGGCTTCACCAATGGACACTGCAAGAAGATGCCTCAGAGACAGGGAGTTAGTTTAAGTTACCAGCATGAGGAGACTCTGTTATTTGCTCTAGACTCTAGATCTCTCCTATAGTAACTTAAATGAAACTCTGTAGCAAGAACCCAACAGAGGAGCTGCTTGAGAATTTCATGGGCTGAGACTGAGAGTTCCCGGACCAAGGCTTCTGAAGTCCACGGACCTTTCGGAGGTGGTGTCCTTTAGAGACTCCCGTGACTGCGTGACGCACATCGCGGGCCGCTGAGTGTGGATGCAGGGGGAATCGGGCATTGCAGCTTTGTCCCTTACCTGCGAATTCGAGTTTTGGCGGATCGAGGCCTTCAGTTCAGACTCCTGCCATCTGGCCTTGGCGCATGCCGACCGTTCACTCTGCAGGGGCCCTGAAAGCAACTTCATCACATCAGCCAGGCTAGCACCCTAAATCCTCCAAACCCCAAGCCCTGAACCCTAAACCCATGCATGACGGGACTGGAAGGTCTCTACCGGTACTCGCATCGTCCAAACGACAAGAACTTCCCCAAGGACGCCGCTTTCTCACAAGTCAGTACACATCAGGATGTAATTTGCTGTGCCAACAGCTCCAGCCAGCTAGCCATCTACAATTCACTGCCGAGCTACTGGCCGACGACAAATCGAGTAAGTGTACAAGTACGTGACAAAAATCAACAGTGGTGTGTGCCTTTTTGTTGAAATCGTACTCCTTTTCACGCCAGTGTCATCAACCCCCCAAAATTGAAAAAACCCAAAACCCCTAAACCCGAACCTCAAACCGAGTTCCTTTGAATGTGCTCTGCTCCAGGAGTGGATGTATTCAGCGAAGCACAAGCTCGGACCTCATGCTTGTCCGTACAACCCAACGCCCCAGAGAGCATGCAATACCCTATGCCCCAAACCCTAAAGCCCTGAAGCCCTAAAACCCTAAACCCTCAAACCCTAAAGCCCCAAAGCCCTAAAACCTTGTCACCCAAACCCTAAAGGCCTAAAACCCTAAACCCTAAACCGGTGACTGCAGAGAACTGGGCCCGGCAAGGTGCAGTTGAGGCTCCTAAAACTCAAAACTCCTAAGCACTAAACTGCAAATCTTCTTGTTTGGGCCTCTTAAATGGACACCTTAAATCCTGAACCTAAACCCGAGATCCTAAGCCCTTACCCCTCAGCCCTAAACCCTAAGCTCATGGCCATAGTCGTGGTCGTGTCGGTGTCCGTGCTGATCGTAGTCGGAGTAGAGATGGATGAAGCCTCCTAGCGGTGAGTATGATGGTCGACTTCTGAGGGCTTTTCGCTTTAAGTGCAAGCCTCCCACAGAGGCAGGCTCTGAGACCTGTTGCAAGCGGAGAAAGAAAAAATTGCATTTAAAAAAAATCCCAAACTCTTTGTAGCCCTAAACCCTAAATTCTCAATCCCAGGCCCTAATCCCTACAGCCCCCAAAGCCTCAAAGCCCCGTACCCAAAACTCTTTCTTTGGGGCCATCAGGTTAGGAGCACGATACTCCTACACACCTCAGCCCTAAGACTTGAACCCTAGGCCCTAAGCCCTAAAGCCCTAAACCCTTAAAGCACCCTAAAGCCCTAAACCCTGAAGCCTTAACCCTGAACCCTAAACCCTAAAGCCCTAAAGCCCTAAAACCCAAAGCCCTAAAGCCCCAAACCCAAACCCTAAAGCCCCAAACCCAAAACGCTCTCTTTGGGGCCATCTAGGTCGCACTGGCGTCCCATCGTGGGCCTCTGCTTCTCCGGCTCTGAGTCCGAAAAGCTGAGGTGGATGAGGGTTTGAGGGTTTAGTAGGGTTTTGGGTTTTGTGTTTTGGGGTTTAGGGTTTAGGGGTTTGGGTTTAGGGTTTTGGGTTTTGGGGTTTAGGGTTCAGGGTTTAGGGGTTTCGGGTTTTGGGTTTTAGGGTTTTTGGATTGGGGTTGGCGGATTAGGATCTAGGGTTTAGGGTTTTGGGGTTTGGGGGGGTTTTAGGGCTTCGGGTTTTGGGATCAGGGTTCAAACAGGGATTTACGGTTGATGCTTTTTGGGACTTTCTGGTTCGTAGCTCGAGGCTTGGGGCCTCAAAGGACCTGGGTTGCCATGGCATCCCGACTCCGTTGCCCCTAGACCCTTTACCCTTTACCCTAAACCCCTAAACCCCTAAACCCCTAAACCCCTAAACCCTAAACCCTAAACCCTTGCCCATGCAGGCTCTTCTCCGTGGGGGAGGCCAGGCTTGCATCCACCTCTTTGTCTGCGGAAGTTGCGAGGGAGGTGTAGACCTGCTAGGTGGAAAGATCAGAGTTTAGGCTTTCGGGTGGGGGGATTTTAGGGTCCAGGTCACATTTCAAGCGGACTGTGATGTTGATGCTTCCTGAATCGTCCCGTGGCCCGTCTGGCTAGCTTCAAGTGTCCCGTGGGTCAGCAGTCAGCGCCTCGACCATGCCGCTTGGCTCGGATAACGTAGGGGCCTGAAGAATTAAAATAGGGTTTTGGAGTTTTGTTGTGCATAAGGAACCACCAACATGGTAAAGGCAATTAATCTATGCCATAATATACTATCATGTTCTAATATACTATACCATTATGCCATAATATACTATCATAATACGCTATAGTGTGCTACAATAAGGCCACTATATTCGGTGTCTTGAGCCGATGTATGCGTTGTTGAAGACATGCCTGCTTCTGGGGCCAAGGAGAGCATCCGACGCTTCCAATCGCCAGAAGGACGGGCATGATGATGCACCACAGTGGTCTTGCGAGAATTGAAGTCCATGGACGTTTGTCTGTCCCATCCACGTACGGCTCTTGAAACTACACGATATCGCTACAATATGGCTATAATTATAACATAACTTAACTTAGCATTACTAGAGTGCATCCATGCTATAACTGTAGCCGGCAGATCAGCTGCAGGTCGTGATCGTGGGGCCGCCCGAAGCTGGAAAGCCGGGCCTTTCTTCTCGGGTCTTGCTTAGCTTGGCGAAGCATGCAGTGGTTTTCAAGAGCTGTGCTTCATGACATTGCCGCAGTGCCCACACAGGTCCATCATAGCGAACATCATCGCAGAGGCTGCCGAGACAGCCTCCGAGGCAACTGGGGTGCTTCGCAAGAGGATCGCACAAGTTCGGGCAAATGTGCTCAGAGATGATACGTAGTAGAATGCGGAAGACTGGGTTCAGCCGCCGGACCCATTTTGGTGTGAAGCTACGAGGTCTTGCCATTAAGGCTCTTTCAAGTGCAGAGGAAGGTCTGTTCTGCGCAGAGACAGCATCGAGAGGGTTCAAAGATCACAAGCCTGGTGCCTACCTTGCAGCTGTTACAGCTTCAAGCGAATCTCAGAGACATGTACACGATCTCCGACCGCAACTCCCTCAACTGGGTTTGAAACTGGCCGGCTTTCCCATGCCATACATAGGTCGAACTTTGCAGTGTGGGCTGTCATTGCAAGATATCCTGATGGCATCGGCAGCTGAAGAGAACAAGGACAACTATCGAGGCTCGCATCTCAATTTTCCATGAATCGTTGTCGAGTTTGAGGGTTTATCAGGCAGACGGTCGGTCTGAGCAGAGGCGTCTTCGATGGCTGCCTTGGCTTCGGAGAGAAAGCAGCGCTCATCATCATTGACTTCACGAAGGTGGGAGGCAGTCGCAGCACCGTCGCAGCCTGTTCGTTCCAAAGCTCCTCACTTGGAGGGTCGGGGGACTTAGTAAGTAGACTTCTAAGTACCCTAAAAGGGACCCTAATTGGGGTTATGGTACTTATAAGTCCCTAAAATAACCAGTCACTAAGTCCCCCGACCCTCCAAGCAGGCCTACACCACACCGGGCAGCGCCTGGTACTGTCCTGGAAGCGGCTACGGTGTTGTGGACGCCGTTGCGCAGTCGCGTCCGTTGGTGGAACTCGCGAGAACAAAGGGCGTTCCAATCTTCTACACGAAGGTGTATTTCGAGCACCCCAGCGATGGTGGCATCTTCACCCAAAAGATTCCAAAACTGCGCACTTGGACCAAGGACAATCCGCTGGTCGAGATCGATGACAGCATCGCCCCTCATGATGGCGATGCCGTCCTCGTGAAGCAGTATCCCTCTGCCTTTTTTGGCACCAACCTGGCGTGCAACCTTCGTGCGATCGGGGTCGACACGTGCATCATGATTGGGTGCTCCACCAGCGGCTGCATCCGGGCCTCCGTGCTTGACGGCATGCAGCACGGGTTTAGGTGCGTCGTCCCACGGGAGTGCGTCGGAGACCGCACGCAAAGCATCCACGAGTCCAACCTCTTCGACATCAACGCAAAGAACGGAGATGCCCGGCACTCATGCTCTTTTGTCGAAAACCTTTTGCTGATGCCTGTTGCAAACTGCCATGGGAAGGTCGTGACAAAGCAGAGTGTTATGGACTACATGCTACAGCTGGAGGCTGCCGTTCTTGAAGAGATAGGAAGATTCGGGCTTAGGGTTTAGGGTTTATAAAGTTCGTGTATCATTGTAAGGCAGGCGCCTTGCCCCGCAGGAAACGGAGAACTCCTCAAAGCGAAGACGCCGCTCTGACTCCAAACTTGAACCCTCTGCCGCAGAGGTCAAGGCCAGCATGGGATGCCAATCAGAGGCACTGCAAGTAGCGGTTCACATACTGGGCTCTTGTTAAGGAGTTTAAATTGAGTTAGCATAATGAGGGAAGCATATTACGCACTATAGGTCACCCTTTTTGGTAACTTACATTAAGTCCTTAAGTAAGAACCCAACACAATAAGAGCCCTACTCATTTGGGTTCATATTTGGGTCCACTCTTTTCTGAAACTCCTAGATTGGACCGAAACCCCTCACCTGAACCCAATCCCTAAATCCTGAACCCTAAGCTCCTGAACCCACAACTCCCAAACCGCTAAATCAACCAACCCCCAAACTCCTTCACTTAAGCCCTAAACTCCTTTTAGGGTTTAGGGTTTAGGGTTTAGGGTTTAGGCCCGTAAACCTTCAAATCCTGGCAGGATCCGACGGCCGAGCACAATGCTAGCAACTACAAGGCCCGTTGCCCGGGCTAAACCCTAAACCCTAAACCCGAAACCCACAATCCCCTCATGGGCCGCCCTTCGGGTTTAGGGAAGCTCTTAAGGGCTGCAGCAGGGACCCGAAGTTTCCGTGCTATCTTTTGAAGCATCCTATTGTTTTGCATAGTATGTACGATGTGGAACTAAGGGCTTTACGCCATGCTGCTTTGCATTGTAATCTCTTCTGTCTCTCCCTCCCTCCCTCCCTCCCTCCCTCCCTCTCTCTCTCTCTCTCTCTGTCTCTCTCTCTCTCCTCTCTCCATAGCTCTCTGCCCCTGTCTGCCCCTATCTGGATACCTTGCAGTCTTGGTATTCGTTCACAAGGCTGACTTACTATTAAACCACATCGCTTCATGTTGTCGCGCTGTGTGTGTATGTGTTGGTTTATACTTTCAGAGTACGCGCTTGACACATAACGTATCTGTATGTCACGACACTTCATCCTTCTCCGGACCGCCTAAGCCCAAAGCCTTAGAGTGTGTAAAAAAGCCCCTAAATCTCCCAACGCCCTGCACCCTGAACTAAACCCTAACCCTTAAACCCTAAACCCTAGCCTGGTTCCGCTGAGGGTGTCTTTGACGGCCAGCTGGGGTTTGGCTCACGGTCTGCTGTGATCGTCATCGACTTCACCAAGGCGAGATTGGAGAGCCTTTAGTGTTTTTTTAAAAATAAGTTCATTGAATTTTTAAGTTTCTTCTAAAGGGCTTTTTAGGTTTTTGTATTTTCATGTTTCCTTGTCGTTTGAAGGGCTTTCAGGGCTTTTGGGTGTTGAGGATCTTGAAGGGGCTTGCTGGGAGGAGATGGTAGGGTTCTATATGGGAGTTTCCGAAAATAGGGGACCCTAATATAGTACCCTGAATAGTAGGATCCTTATTATAAGGACCCCAAAATAAGGTACCCTAATTTTCGAAAACCCCCATATGGGCTAAAGGCGTTATGTCATGTAGACTTGGAGGATCATGGGCAGTTGTGAGTAGGGTGCTAAGTAGGGTACCCAGAGATCCAATATCCCTTAATTTAGGAATATACCTTAAGTCATATTAGGGATCCTACTATGATTTATGCTATATTTCTTAACTAAGGGATATTAGCGTCTCTGGGTAACTTTTCTTATAACCCATATTAGGGGACTTACAACCCCACTTACAACTGGCCATGAACCTCCAAGTAGCTTCTGTAGCCCAAGGCTTCCTTAGCTTGACATCGGAATCGGATATAGTGGCAGCAGATCTGAGGCTGATAGCACAGTATACAGGGAGTTTCCGAAATTAGGGGTACCCTATTTGGGGTCCTTCTAATAGGGATCCTACTGTATTTACGGTATTACATAAGGGTCCCATATTTTCGGAAACTCCCACAGATGTCGTTTTCTGAGCACAATCGAGCAGAGCTCACCCGCTTTGACCTCACCAAGGTGGGAGGCAGTGTCAGTTACTGTTGTTGCAAAGCTCTTGCTGAGTTCCCTTCAGGCCTACACCACACAGGGCAGCGCTTGGTACTGTCCTGGAAGCGGCTTCGGGGTGGTGGACGCCGTTGCGCAGTCGCGTCCGTTGGTGGAACTCGCGAGAACCAAGGGCGTTCCAATCTTCTACACGAAGGTGTATTTCGAACACCCCAGCGATGGTGGCATCTTCACCCAAAAGATTCCCAAACTGCGCACTTGGACCAAGGACAATCCGCTGGTCGAGATCGATGACAGCATCGCCCCTCATGATGGCGATGCCGTCCTCGTGAAGCAGTATCCCTCTGCTTTTTTCGGCACCAACCTGGCGTGCAACCTTCGTGCGATCGGGGTCGACACTTGCATCATGATTGGGTGCTCCACCAGCGGCTGCATCCGGGCCTCCGTGCTTGACGGCATGCAGCACGGGTTTAGGTGCGTCGTCCCACGGGAGTGCGTGGGAGACCGCACGCAAAGCATCCACGAGTCCAACCTCTTCGACATCAACGCAAAGAACGGAGATGTCCTGCCTAAGCAGGCAGTCATGGATTACTTGGCCGCGTGTTAAAACGACGCGCCTTGCTACCGCCTTCACCGAGCTTAGTGTTGCGATGAGCCTGCTTCCGTTCTTTCGATGTTGAAATTTCAACAACTTTATGCAGCGCTGTTGCCTCCTGCGCTGGCCAGGTTTATCGTCCCACTGCTGGCGTTCGCATATTGGAGTGTGAGACAGAGGCAGGCTCCATGTGGCAGCTCGACAGTTTTTGCAAGGGGTCTAAGCCCTAAACCCTAGACCCTAAACCAGGTCCGGACTGCGACCGGATCGCTGCGGCTGACTGTTGAGATTTGGGATGTGTCCGGTGATACAAAGCCTGGTGCTCAGCTTTGCCTTCCAAGCATCCGACCCATCTCACATTTCTCAAGTTGGCTTAAACAAAGTCATCAGACTGTGCGTATAGCAAATACCAAAGACCCATCACATGCCTGCAGATTAAATCACACTCATGCGGGTGGTTGTCAAAATTAGGGTCCCTTTGTAGATCCTTATTATAATGCGGCACCTAATGTTTAGGGTACCCAAAAAGGGACCATAATTTTGACAACAACCCCTATTGCTTGTCTCGGTTTGCGGGATCAGAGTCAGGTTCCAGAAGTGCTGGCCTGCCATCAAGAAGGATACGATCCGGGATTTTTTGCTGCTAAGGGCTTGGGGTTTATGTTTTTTTTTTTTTGTTTTGGGATTTTCGGTATTTTCGGTTCAGGGTTTAGGGTTTACGGCTTCGGGTTTAGGGCTTAGGGTTGTCAGCAGTTCTTGACGATGCTCTTGTCAGAATCGTTGCTGTGAGTTCCTCAGATTACTGCTCCTCTCCAGCTTGCCCTTCGGTACGATAGGGATTAGGAGCTGCCCCCACCATGTAATAGTGGTATAATAGGAGTATAATAGGGCCCTAATATAATCCTCTATAATCCTTATGGTCACTATTACAGGGTGGGGGCAGCTTCTAAGATAGGGGCCTCAATAATTAGAGTAGGGTTTTGGGGCCCATTGTACTCTGATTATAATAAGGAGCCCCAAAAGTAGTATAGTTCATTACCTAGGCCCCTATAGTATTCGGCGACGACAACGAAATCTGTCTCTGTCGGTCTGGCAGCTTGTATTGTAGTTGTAGTGGTGGGGGTGGTGACTGGTGGTGATAATTGTTGTAGTGGTAGTAGTTGTGGGCGTGAAAACTTTTGTGGAACCCGTGGTAGTGAAACAGTCGGCACTGTAATCGTCGTCCTAGCCGAAGCAGTAGCGGCAGGAGAGGAGTAGGGATAGGGGTGGGAGTCTGAGGCGCAGTCGTAGCATCAGCATTACCAGGAGCAGTGGCAGCAGGAGCAGCAGCAGTTTAGAAGGCAGGAGGAGGTCTGGTAGTGGCATTAGTGGCCGTAACAGCAGTGATGGCTCATCATGATGACACGGCGGTTGATTTTGGCTATAACAGTAACAGGTTTGATGTTGTATATGGCTTTAGTTTTCTTACTTGGCCGCTTTTTGACTCACATGGGTGTGCTGCTGCTGACGAAGACGATGCTGCTCATGACTCTTTGATGATCGTGATGATGATGGGGATGATGATGTCATCAGGTGGATGATGTATTGCCTAAACCCTAAACCCGTGGCCCTCAACGCTCGTGAGGACGCAGTCGGAGCCATCTTAGTCTACAACCCTGAGAAGCCCAACCACGAGCAGGAAGTGGAGCTGCGCCCTGAGATCGAAGTGCCCTTTGTTGTACCTGCCTCTACATAAATGTACCTGGGTGGTTGTCAAAATTATGGTCTATTTTGGGGTACCCTAAATATTAGGGGCCGTACTATATTAGGGCCCCAAAAAGGGACCATAATTCTGACAACCACCCATATGTATACACATGTACATACATACACATGCACATACTCATACACATGCACATACTCATACACATGCACATGGACGTTTACATGTGCGTGTGCATGTACATGTACTTATACCTATACATACATAAAGACGAGCATACATACATCCATACACCCATCCTCCATGCATCCATCCATACATATGTACACAGATACATACATTATGTGCGTGTGCAAGTACGTACGGGTACATGTATATGTATATATGTTATATATATATATATATATACACATGTAGATATGGAGATGGATATGTACATGTACATGCCCGTGTCGATGTATATGTTTATGTCTATATGTCAACATATATGTATATACACATACACAATAGGTATACAATAGACCCCTAAGCCGTGACTCCAAACCATGAGCCCTGAATCCCAATGTTGTTGTTTTAATATCTCGGCTCTTTCCGAGAAGCCCGAAGTAGCCGAAAGCAAAGATCCTACGCTCAGGCAGTGGTTCAACTGGTTTCCAAGGACCTGGCAGCCCTTGTCAGGTTTTTTCTTCCGATGTTTTCAGGAAGCACCTGCTGTAGGTGGTAGGGGTTTAGGGTTTAGGGTTTAGGCGCTCCAGAAGATCCAAGTCACGAAGTCACGAAGCTACGTACAGCTACAGCCCAGCCTTTCTGAAAACAAGTGGGGGGGCGAGGAGAGGGCTAGCTACCTTCTTTCCTGAAACTTGCCAGTACGTCCCCTAAACCCGCATCGTAGCAAAGAAACTCGGGAGGGGCCCTGAACCCCGAAATGCGAAACTCTAAATCTCCGTGCAGGACGATGAACATGTCCGCCAGCCAAGTGCTGGTGATGCAGTCACTGCGGCGATCTGACCTGATGCGGTCGGGAACCCCAGGTGGTCGAGTTTGGGACCTCAGTGGAGGCTTTTGGGGCAGAACTGTGAGTCATTTTAGTCTGGGCTGCAAACCTTTGCTCCAAATGGTGAGTGGCACCGCCCAGCCAAAAAAGGCGCGGGCCCTAACTCCTAAACCCCTAAACCCTAAACACTGGGGTTGCTACGAGCTCGAGCAGCCTGCATAAAAACTTTCCTTCCGCTGTCCAGGAGGGTGCCAATGCCTGCCAAGATCCAAGCAGCAGGCGTCGGCCAACCGGCCGCGGTGTCCGCAGAGGATCTTGCCTGCCCCCTACAGGAGTTGTGTCTAACAAGGAAACGTACCGATCCATGTAAAACTCTTAGTTACTGCTACCTTTATGGTTGCTTTTATTTTTGTTGTTTGAATTAACTTTCTTAGTGTCATTATCATCATGGTATTCATAGTAGTATTGCTTTTGTGATGGTATCCTTACAAATAAGCGTCTTAGCAAGGAGCCACAGGTTCCGTGATTCGCCAAGACGCCGATGTGCTTTCGGTGCATGCCGAGGTCTCCGCGCGGCGAGTCTTCAGCCGGGCTCTCAAGAGGACGGCTCTTGTAGCAAAGCCGCTTTGGTGCTTTGCCAGATGGATTCATGGAGACGGTCCATCAGAGCGTCATGGAGAAGCAGCGCCAGGAGGAGGAAGATGTAGAAAGCTCGGGAGAGACCCAGGAGTCTTAAACCCTAAACCCTAAACCGTCATCTGACCTCAGGTCATGAAGGGCGGCTGAGTGCTGCTGAGCGGTCTCCTGGTTCGGCTGCAGCCCTTGAAGCTCGAACCTGCGCCACGAACTAATACTACATTATAGTATATTATAGTAGTCAATATACTATATTGTAGCATATTATCTTGTATTATACTGTAATATATTTTTAGAATGTAGACTTACGGCCTGTGATCATGTGAAGTCAAAGCATGGGCTGCATGGAGTTTCACAGCGATATCCAAGAATTCAGCCTGCAAAGTTGTACAGAGAGCACACTGAGGGTGCAAACAGGACTCCAAGGCTCTAAAGGACGAGCAAAGAAGGCAGCAGCCAGCAAGCCCAGTCAAAAGTCATTGTGTTCATAAAAGTAGTAAAGCGGATACTACAAATAAGAACAATAATGATAATAATAATTAATATAACCATAATAAAAGTGATCACATCAATAGTAAAAACAGTAAGCATAGTAATAACAGCAATCATAGCAGTAATGAGAATGATAATAATGATAGTAATAACAACAATACGATTAGTAGTAACAGCAATGCTCACAGTCATAACGCAGATATGAGGGAGTGCGCTGCTTCATCACTTCTTCGGGCTGTCGCGGCTTGCAAAAAGGCGAAGAGACAGCTTAGCCTTTGATTCGTTGTCGCACTGCTTCAGGACAGACGGTTAGTGGAGTACAATGTGAAGAGCCGGGGACTTGTACCGTCGGCTTTGTCTGATTCTGACAGAGTTTGTCAAACAAATCGAAACCCTAAACCCCAAACCCCAAACCCTAAACCCTAAGCCCTAAACCCTAAACCCTAAACCCTAGACCCTAGACCCTAAACCCTAAACCCCAAACCCCAAACCCTGAACATGGCAGCTGCGTGGACCCAACGTGAAAACCCACAAGGCTTGGAATGCAATGTGCCGAGGTTCCGAATTCGGTGGACTGCAGATTGTGCAGCCAGACACAGTTGTGGAGCAGGAGGCAGGTTGCTCATAAATGCTAGACTCTTCAACTCTTAAACCCTCGTGATACCTTGACCGAGCTTGTTGCAGGCTCGCCCAACTGGTTGCATGTGGTATCCATACAGTGGCGGCAAAGGTGACAACCAGAAGGCCACGAACATGTACTGCCTCTGTACCGTCTACGTGTGCGGAGAGAGTTCCAGAGAACCCTCAACGACAGACCCTTTCTCGAAAACTACACGAGGTTCTCACCATGAACGACGAGTACAAGTTCAAGATCTGGAACACCGTCAACAGGCCCCAAGCCGACTGACCACCGGGTTGTCTCGCTTGTTGTGTTGAAAAAGCCGTAAGACATCGAAGGTCCTGCCGCAAAACGGCTCTAGCGCCAACTTACGGCGGGCCCATCACAAGGCCGTTTACTTTGGCGTCCAGAGGGATTTCAGAAAACCCCTCACATCCTGAACCCAAAGCCACATCGACGAAGGATGACGCCAGTGTACGCCGAAGCTGATGGTGAGGTCCAGCGCTTACGAAAAGACCTTCCATCCACTTCTTGGAGGTATGATTTACTGCGCTTGGGCAGTTGGCCAGGACCAGTTCATGCTCTATGCCACGCATGAGAAGGTACTGGGACTGGTTTGGGCCCAAGTTTGCAAGGCATCTTTGAGAATGCAATGCGACTCGCCCCAGCATGCGCCCCGAGCTGAAGGTGCAGCTGCCTCTAGACGGCAACCCCAACAAGGCTTGTCTGTTGATCTGGTGATTTCCTCATTACTGTTGCTATTACTTAGACTATTGTCATTTTCTGTTACTGTCACTATTACTAGTACTTGTATTACTGCTGACACTATTCCTTCTACTTTTCGCCTGCTTTTCAAGCGACTTCGCCTGCAGTGCATGGGCCTCATCGCCCACCCTGGGCAAATCGCGGCCATCTCCGTCGACTACCAGGCCCCCCACCCTTCAGGGCACCCGGCATAAGACCCGAGAGCCCCTGAATTTTGCCTTTGAAGCTCCTGGATGCGAGGGCCAATATGCCTTTACCTGTGGTGGCAATGACCTCACTGCCACCTGGCGCAAAAAGAGGAAATGTGCCTCGTGTGAAGCAATCCGAGCAAGACGCAGTCCGGGCAAGATCTCAGGTTAACCAATGGCAGATCGATCCACAGCCAGGTCCCGATGGGCTACGTCAGCTTCTTTTATTGGGGTGGGGGTTTAGGCCATTGTGGTTTCATATACAACCCTAGCCGCACCCCTTACCCCTAAACCCCTTATTCCTAGGATTTGCTTAGCAATGCCGCCTCGCAGTTGCAAACGCCAGCGTCATGGGTGGTTCTGGCATCGAGCCCTTTGTGAAGCTCCTAGACGGCGGAGAGGCGGGGAGCAGTGTCTTCAGAAACTCCAATGTCCCCCAATTAAGGCATATACCTTGATTTGTAGTAGGATCACTAATTTGATTTAAGGTGTGTGTGTATGTATATATATAGATATAGATATTCCGTAATTCCCTTCATAGAACCCTTATCGATCCCGTTAAGGAACCCTTTAAGGAACTCAGGATCCCTAATATGATTTAATGTATATTCTTTAACGAATGGATATTAGAACCCTCTAAACCCAAAACCCCACAGTGATCCCTTAAAGGAACCCTAGGTATGCCGGTATATTCCTTAAGCAAGGGATATTAGAATCCCCTAAACCCTATAAACCGTATAAACCCTGTAGACCCTATAAACCCTCTAGACCCTATAGACCCTATAAACCCTATAAAATCCTATCGATCCCTTAAAGGAACCCTAACCCCGGGATATTCCTTAGTTGAAGGGATCTTGGAGTCTCTGGGTATCCTCAGCTTCTGCGGATCCGTGGCTTCTTCGGACATTGCAGGATGGCGCCTTCTTCTGCGACATGAAGGCCCCGCTTTAAGCAGTTTTTTAGTATATTGCGGCCTAAAACCCTATTCTAATTATTAAGGCCCCTTTTTTGTAGTATCCTTATTCTTACCTTTGGTTAGTAGGGAATGGAAGAATGGTAGTCATAGTAGTTATAGTTCTACCCCATTCCTCCATTCCCTACTAACCAAAGGTAAGTTATGCAGCATTCTAGTATATTGGGGCCTAAAACCCTATTCTAATTATTAAGGCCCCGTTTTTTACAATATCCCTATGGATCCCGTCTCGTAATCCTTTTAATCCCTTTTAGACCCCGAAGGAAGGGCCCTGTGAAGCTCTTGTTCTGGAGGATTACTTCTACTACTCGCAGATCCGGTCGCAAGACGAGAACACCACAAAGGCCTGCAACTGGCAGCAACATGCAAGTGCGTCAAGGCAGGCATTTCCCTCACAGATCCCGACAGCTTGATGGCCTGTTGCAGGCGAGAGCCTTGGATGGCATGATTCCAGTACAGGACGCTCTCCGCTCTCTTGGGGATCGTGGAAGCATTGAGTGTGGAAGCAAGCTTGCCCACGTCACAAGAGCCGATGGCTTCCATGGCTTCTGTTCCCTCAACTCCATATGTGGTTGGCACGCTGGATTCATGGCAACCATGTACATGAGCTGTAGCTTCTCTTGAGTGCGTAGCATCGACGCCCGACTTCTGTGCTTCTAAGCCCCTGAGCTGTGATCCTGTGAAGGAGATCCCGCACCTAATGTGTGCCCTGGGATACTTCCCCACACAGCTGGAAATTACCAACATGACCAACGAGGCCGCGGCGGAATGAGCTCATAATGCTACGATCTACCACTCCGAGGTTCAGGGGTAGTTATAAGTGGGGAATACAGGTAGGATAGCTATCATTGTAACCCATAACCACCCATGGACCTCCAAGCGGCCCCAGTCTCATGGGCTCTCGTGGGCTGAAGGTAAAGTACTCAAAGTTCGCGGAGACCGGCGAATACGTCGAAAGGTGGCCGGTAGAGCAGCGGGGTTTTCTGCTTTCGAAGCACAGCCACAGAGAAGCGTTATCCATGGCAGGATAGGATTCGACGACTTGGTGAAGCTCTACGTGGCCTCCCGAGCATTCATGATGATGTCCAGTCGTCCTGTCTCTCATGGCGACGATGATGAGGATGACGGTTATGGTGCTGAAGACGATGGGCATACCACTGATGCTTACTATGATGGTGGTCACACTGTTGATGGTGGCCTCTAGGGCCTGACTATCATGTGTTTAGAGAAGTCCCCTTTCGCCGAGGTGAACCACCGGCCGGTCTTCGCTGTGGGACCTGAACAGATTAGACAAGCCTTCGAGGTAGGGTTTGGGGTATAGGGTTTCGGTTTTGGGGCACCGGAGGTGATGAAAGGTCGACCTCTTCTTCTGCACGTTGCTGGAAAACGATGTTGTTGTTACCGCTGTATTTCCTGGTGTATGTTCACGACTTGTTTATGAAGTGGTTGCGGTTGGCACGGCTTGCAGTTCGTGTACTGATCTCTTTCCTCTCATGAAGCATGCACTTTAGTTCCCACCTTCTTCAACGTGTCGCATCATGCCTTTTTCAGCACTGCAATCTTGCGGAACACTCCCCCTTGCCCAGAGACTCCAATATCCCTTCATAAAGGAACATCCCTTAAATCAGATTAGGGGTCCTACTATACTTTAAGGTCTATTCCCTATTTGAGGGATGTTGGAGTCTCTGGGTGCTTGGAAAGGCCACCAAGAGGCATGAGCCCGGACCTCTCTCGAGGGAAGGCTTCCTCAGTCTCCTCACCAGCCCGGACCTCAGCCTTGACTGGTGCCGCTTAGCCACTCGGGGGGGGGGGCCGTCAAAACTGGCTCTTTTTGGGTTCCCAAATAAGAGTAGAATAGAGTTATGTAGGGTTCCCCAAAGGGACCATGATGTTGAGAGCTACTCATCTGGGAAGCCTCGGTTTCTGCGACTCCTGCTATCGAGCCGCCCGCTGCCCTTGAGGAGATCAAAGGGACCTTGGTGTGCCGTTCATGTGTCCATGGAGTGTGCAAACAGGATTTCACTTAATCATGAGTAGAGTTCTTTGAGATGCCAACACTGCAGTCACGGGACCGCGCTCGGCTCATGTTTTCCCTCAGTGACCTTCCGCGTCCCTGCGCATTCTGGATCCCTTGTGCCTTGGTTTTGATTGCAGGCTGTGACGCTTACGCCGCGCCTGTGTGCTCCAGGGCAGGTGAGAACTGCCAGGCCACCTCGTGCTGCGAAGAGGCAGGGCACCAGTGCTTCGTCAAGGACTCTTCGTGGGCAGGATGTAAGGCTTCCTGCGCGCCTGGCATCGACACCGCCGACCCTGCACAGTTCCGCACACCCTGGTCATGCGAAGTATTCAAAGCTTCAATGGCCGATGCGAACTCATGCTCCATCGCAGGAGTTGGCTGTATGACCACCCGGTGTTGTGTAGATCCAGACAATCGCTGTTTCCAGAAAGACCAATACTGGGCGGACTGCAAGCCTCACTGCGAGCCAGGCATCCATGAAGAGGATGCGGCCGAGTTTCGCACGCCCTGGCGTTGCAGCCTCCTCGATGTGAACGCCTCCGGTGCCTCCCAGGTGCGCTTGGAGGCCGTCGCAGCTCCGGAGCCCACCAGAAGCTGCTCCGGAACTTGGCAGAACTGCCAGAACACGAGGTGGGTGGTTGTCAAACTTCGGGTCCCTTTTTAAATACCCTAGGTATTGGGTGCCGTATTATACTAAGGACCCAAAAAGGTACCCTAGTTTTGACAGCCACCCAGGTGCTGTTCCCAGGAGGGCTACACCTGCTTCGAGAAGGACGAGACCTGGGCAGACTGTCGCCTCACCTGCCAGCCGGGGATCAACTCCGATGATCCGGAGCCCTACCGCACTCCCTGGAAGCTGGGCGTTGGAGTAGCATACTTTAATACTTTTTTGATCTTTTTTGGTTAATGGAACCATGATGAAATAGAAGTGTTGGAGTACCATACTTTAATACCTTTTTGCTTAATGGAACCATTATGAAATAGAAGTTTATACTTTCCCCTCCCTGGTACCCTAAACCCTAAACCCTAAACAAAAGCCCAGGAAGTGCAACATTTTGGAGCCCGTGGTATTCCGGGGCTCATCGCTGGAGACCAGGGTCTTAGCACCTCTTGGGTCCCCAGTTGCACGACATGGGAGGCTTTTTGTGAAGGGCAACCAGATTCTGGGAGCTCATGGCCGCCCGGTGCGCATCCGGGGTGTCTCCCTCTTCTGGTCGCAATGGGGCTCCAAGTACTGGAATCAGCGGGTGATCCAGTGGCTGCGGGATGATTGGCGGGTCTCCCTGATACGTGCAGCAATGGGAGTCGAGGATGGTGGCTACTTGGATTCACCGGATAGGCACAAGCAAATCGTGGCCGATGTTGTCGATGCTGCCATCCTAGCGGGTCTCTACATCATCATTGACTGGCATGACCATGCAGCTCATTTGCATCAGAAGGAGGCCGCGTCCTTTTTCGCAGAAATGGCCCGAATTTACGGGCAGTATCCGAACGTGATCTTTGAGCCATGGAACGAGCCCATAGACCAGTCCTGGAAATATGTCGTTCGGCCCTATCATGAGATGATCCTTGGGAAAATCCGCCAGTACAGTCCCAATTTGGTGACATGTGGGTCTCCCACCTGGTGCCAGGATGTGGATGTAGCTTCAGAGCAGCCTTTGGATGATTCCAACGTTGCCTACGCTTTGCATTTCTATGCCGGCACGCACCAATCCTCGATCCGAAGAAAGGCGGAGAAGGCTCTGAAGAATCGGGTCGCGCTCTTTGTGACGGAGTGGGGGCTGTGCCAAGCGCATGGCGATGGCTCCCTGAACTTCACTGAAACTGAGCTTTGGCTGAACCTCCTTGAAACCTACAACATCTCTGATGCGAGTTGGGCGGTGAACGATAAGGACGAGAGTTGCGATGCTTTGATTCCCGGAGCAGACTCTGATGGAGGTTGGGGTCTCGAAGATCTGACTGCCTCCGGACAGTATGTACGCAAGTCGCTTGTGGACATGCCTTGGGATTCGACAATCCCTACAAAAGAACCGCTGGACTTTGATGAGAGTGGCTGTGCAATGATGGTTTTAAGTTTCTTTCATGCCGTCGTCTTGCTGGCACTCTTTTGAACGGCACTCTCACCTCAATCCCTTGCATGATTCTTGTGTAGCTACAGAGAATGTACAGGTGCATGAGCATGAGGACCCTGCGCAGTGTCTTGTCTAAACGTGCTCCACGCGCAGCAATCCGATAGTTCCGAGTGGTTTTCACGCGCGCCGACGGAGCAATAGTTCTCGAGGCATGGCGGAAAGAACGTGCGTGCTTCTCTTGCTTCCCTTGTTGTAGATCTCCCGCCACAGCGAGTACTAACTTTTGGAATGCGAGAACTAAGCCATCTGAACCAGAGCTCTCGCCACGAGGTCACGGTGAGAAGATGTCTTATGAGGAGCTCGAGCGATGCTTCGAGGTGCGAACGCCGTGTCGACCGGGGGCTATGAGATGTCTATGTCTATGTGGCATGATACCATATGATATGATATGAGCAGACTAATAATCGTAATAACACTAACAACAAACAGCAGTAGTAGTAATGAAGATAAGAAGAATAATCAGAATAAGAACAATAAGAGCAACAATAATAACAATAAGAACAGGTATGCATGTAGGTTTATAGGTTTAAGTAGGCAGATAGGTAGATAAGTAGATCAGTAGATAGATAGATAGGTAGATAGCTAGATAGGTAGATAGGTAGATAGGCAGATAGATGGGTAATGAAATAGATAGGTGGATAGAAAGATAGATAGGCACGGACACACATATACATATATTACTATATACATATATATACATATATACACACATGTATACACAATATATGCCTGCAGACGCATGTGTATGTGTACATGTCATCATACAACTTGTGTATGCCCTGCATGCCTGTCTGTGTGCATCCATGCATGAGATGAACAGTCACCAAGCTGCACCTCTGTAAGATGCTAGTGCACGCGCTAATACAGAACAGATATCCATACATGAGAAGACGTGAGTCGGCGTACGTGTAGCTATCTGCGCACGTGTAGCTATCTGTGCAAAAGTTTCGCAAGCTAATTAACATAGATGCCACTGAACAACGAACACGAGGACAGGTGTATGACGAGATCAAAACCGGTTTACGAGATCCTCAACCGAAGACACTAAACCCTAAAATCTGAAACCCTAAACCCGAAACTCTAAACCCTAAACTCGACACTCCCACAGCTTTTGCAGAAAGCCAGGCTCTGGTTGGAGACTCCTCCATCAACCGGGTCCTCGAAGAGGAGGCGCGAGCTTGCAGGGCTTGAGACTCATCTTACCTTTGGTTAGTAGGGAATGGAGGAATGGGGTACAAGTATAACTACTACTACTACTACTACTACTACTACTACTACTACTACTACTACTACTACTACTACTACTACTACTACTACTACTACTACCATTCTTCCATTCCCTACTAACCAAAGGAAAGCTTAAAAACTGAGGCGTTTGGAATTTAGGGCCTAGGGTTTAGGCTTCAGAAGTTGGCGGTTTAGGGATTTAGTGTAGGGTTCGGGGTTTTGGACTTGCGGTTTAGGAACGCCAAAGCCCGAAGTTGGGTACCCTATGAGCCCCACAGCCTTGCATTCTGTAACCCCAGGGCTTCGGTTCACCTAAATAGTCGGTTACCATGGGTTTTGGGGCCCATTATACGACAATTGTAACAAGGAGCCCTCCAAATAGTATTTTCTAAGCCATTTACAGGTGGGTAGTTTTAAGGTGGGTAGTCTCCCATAAGCCTTCCATACCACTCCTATAAGGTAAAGGGGCCTTATGGGAGTACTATGGAAGAGGAACTACCCACCTGTAATGGGCTTCTATATTTGTAATTGGTTACCAGCCATGCAAAGGGTACCCCAGCAGCCCATTATTGAGGGAAACCCTGAAACCCCCGACCGGCGCCAGGTCGACGCACTCGACTTTGCCCATAACATACTCGGCCTGGCCGAAGCAGAGGATGAATCGCAGGAGGCCGGAACTTGCCAAAGGGTTTGTAAGATGATGCAGTGTGGTAGTTGGAAGTTAGAATAGGGTTTTCGGGTATATGGTAGAATGATTCTGTGGCTGGGTAGCGACGAGGGTGGTAGTGTTCCGCATGTGCAGACCTCTACACTCGGGTTTGGGGTTCAGGGTCGTCGCGTTACGAACTAACCTCGCTGTCTCCCTCCCTCATCGGGGCCTTTGTAGGTACACCCGGACGGATCCTTGCAGGAACCTGTGCAGGAATTGCAGGGGTTTGGAGAACTTGGAGGTTCCCGGGTAGTTATAAGTGGGGTGAAAAGTCCCTTAATATGGCTTATAAGTATAGTTACGCTACTTATAACTTATAACCCTACTTATAACTAGCCATGAACCTCCAAGTAGGGTCCTGGGTGTTTGGGGTTTAAGGATTGCTTTTTGCATGAGAAGGGGGGAGCTGCCGCCTGGGAGCAGCGCCAGGCCGCCGTTCCTGGCGAGGGAGCCTCGGAGTGGGCCGGAACCACGTCCCGAGCTCGTTTAGGGTTTGGGGTTTAGGGTTTAGGGTTTAGGGTTTACGAAGTACTTATATGAAATAGGGAACCCTAATAGAGCACAAAAATAGTAGGATGATCCTTATGGATCCTTGGATCCTTATTATCAGGTCGGTTCAGGGTTAGGAGTTCAGAGGTTTAGGGTTTTAGGATGTTGGGTTCAGTTCAGGGCGACAGAGAGCATAGTGTTCCGGGTTTAGAGTTTAGAGCTCGGGGTCGAGCCCTAAACCTTTAACTGTGCTAAGCTCTGTGCTCTAAGCCCTCAAACCTGACCGATACAAAGCACGCTTTTTGTGTAAAACCTAAACTCTGTGCTCTAAGCCCTCAAACCTGACCGATACAAAGCACGCTTTTTGTGTAACACCTAAACTCTGTGCTCTAAGCCCTCAGCCCTAAACCCTAAACCCTTAGAAAGCACCGCTTTTGCAGTGACGAGGCTGGCCTTCTCCTCTTTGGCGGCCCAGTGAGACTTCTCGAGCGGCTTCCGGAATTCAGGTTCATGAAAAAAAGGGCCTTAAGAATTACCTATACTATTTTAAGGGCTCCTTCAAATAACTATGGTGTACTGGGCCACAAAACCCTATTCTAATCATTAAGGCGGTTCCGGGCTTAGCAGCTCGCGAAGCTGCAACCTGGGGGAAATGCCAACTGTTTCACACCGGCCTTCGAAATCCTGGAGGCACAGACGCTTACAGAATGCCAACGCATGCCAGAGTCTGGAGTCTCACCATGCCAGACAATATTCTCGAAGGAGTGCATCTTCAGTGCAAGAGGAGCTGTCGGCCTGGCCTGTCGTTTTCATGGCTTTTGAGTTGGCCTGAAGTGACCCCTGTCCGACCCATCGGAAACCCGCTCATCTCTGGCTCAAAAGGGGGGTAGAGGTCACGCTTCCGATCAGCCACCAGGGTGGCGGAGACGGACGACGAAGTAGAGCAATCAGAGCAACCTAGCCAGTCACGTTCAGACTCCGCTACCCTGCCCGCGTCTCGCGCGACAGCGTATCAGAGGACTGCCGCATTTGGATTTGCATCTGCGGCCATAAAAATGGTGCAGTCGGCGTTCTGCTCTTTCGCACACAGAACTGGCCAGAGGCCTGCTTTGAAGACTGGCTGGTATAAGCGATACGAAGACCCGAAGCCCTAACCCCCAAATCCGACACAGCCTGAGAGGGCAGATGCAAATGGGAGTTTCTGAAATTTGGGGGTACCTTGTTTTGGGGTCCTTATCATAAGGATCCCACTATTTCGGGTACTATATGAGGGTCCCCTATTTTCAGAAACTCCCAAATAGGTGTTCAGATAAAGACCCGACAGCAAGGACGATGTCCCTCGCGCTGGCTTGATCAGATCGACCAGAGGCACATTCGGTGCAGGAGTTGAACTCAGGGACGGGTAAAGTGATTGTCTTGAATATCCAATGTCACTTTCCATCTACACCCGAACCATTCACCCTTCGCATGCCTACACCAGTTTGCCGCCGAAAGATCCGGCGACTTCAGCACAGGGACGTATAAGAATGCGCTTCGAAGGCTAAACCTGTCAACTAGATGCAACTGCTCTTTAAGCATGCCATTTACATCCATTTACAACCCTGCCAAAGGCATATAGTACCCAGTGGACCAGACATGTCGAAAAGGATGTTTGGAGGGTTGAGGGTCGAGAGAAGCATCATCGCAGTTCTTTGAAGCCGCCAGAAGACTAACAACCACGAGCATGACACCAACATCGACAAAAAATAACATGAAACATGGGAGAACTTAGAGTTTCATGGGTAGTTATAAGTAGGGTTATAAGTAGGATAACTATAATTATAACTCCTATTAGGGGGCTTATAACCCCGCTTATATCTCCCCATGAACCTCCAGGAACTCCCTCCACCGGAACGATGGAAGCACGTGTTAGAATCCCACATTGCCAAGCTGCGCCGCACCCAAAAACCCGTAACGTAGCCATGTCGACAGACTTTGCCATACTCCACTCTACACCCTGAACCAGCCCATACCCATAAATCCTGGGCCCTAAGCGAGGCTCTAACACCCCAAAAGCAACCCAGAATCCTAAAGCGAAGCCCTCCAACCTTAAACCCTAAACCACAGACCCTAAAACCTAAATTTTAAACCCCAAACCCCAAACACTAAACCCCAAACTCCAAAACCCTAAGCCCCAAATCCCAAACCCCAAGCCCTCAACCCCAAACCCCAAACCCTACTTGGAGGTTCATGGGTAGTTATAAGTGGGGGTATAAGCCCCCGAATAGGAGTAATAATGATAGTTATCCTACTTGTAACCCTACTTATAGCTACCCATGAACCTCCAAGTAAACCCCAAACCCCAAACTCTTATAGAATTCCTACAGATCCCTTTAAAGGGACCCTTAAAGGAACCCTCATAGCTACCCATGAGCCTCCAAGTAAACCCCAAGCCACCCCAAACCCAAGAGGCCGAAGCGATGCAGAACCCCGGGTTGCCTTTCAGCCCCTGGCTGAATTTTATATTAAGGATCCTAAAAGGTAACCCCCAAAAAGGAACTACAATGGAGACTATAGGTAGTGAGGTTTAAGCAGTGTTTTGTAGGGCTTTTGCAGGGCTTAAGGTTTAGGGTTTCGGGTTTTGGGCAAAAAACTGCATGTGCTTTGTAGGGTTCTTGTAGGGTTTAGGGTGTTTAGGGTTTATATACGGTTATTAGGTTTAGGGTTCAGTGTTTAGGGTTTTTGTTTTTTTTTTGGCAGGGCCCAGGGTTTTGAGGGCTTTAGGGTTCAGGGTTTAGGGTTTAGCTTTCTTTTGTAGGGTTCTTGTAGGGCTGAATATCGTGGTTTTTCTGAAAAGCTTAGTAGCGTTTTCTTTTCTCAAAACTGGGACCGTGGTTTGGGGCCTTCCTTGTTAGAATAGGGTTTTGGGGTCTTAGTATGCTGCATTTTTTTGCAGAGCCCTTTACGGTCTTCCATGGGGTTTAGCTGCATAAGTATATATGTATATGTATATATATATATATATATATATATATATATATATGTATGCGTATATATATATATGTATATATATATATATATATATATATATGTATAAATACATATATGTCTGCGCGAACACTGCCATAGGTAATTAAGTGAGTAGCTGGGTGGGCAGGTACGTAAGTATAAGTACGGAAGTCAGAAAGCAAGAAAACAGGGAAATAAGCACGTAAGGAGGCTAGCAAGCAATCAAGAAAGCAATCAAGTAAGTAGACAGTGAAGTTTCCGATGTAAACATAGTTATACATATTACACAAACACCGGGTAAACACTTCTGTGTATGTGCACGTGACACTTTCATGCATACATATCCCCCAAGTCCTCAACCGTTGTCAACCGTTAACCTTAAACCCTAGACGCTAGTAGAAGCCCTTACAGCACCCTGTATTGCTGCCCGTATAGCGTCCGTTTATGTAGCTCTTGCAGCAACCCTTGCAGTGTCCGCATCCCAGGGGCCATTGCAGCAACCCTTAAAAGGAACCCCTAGAGTCCCCCAGCCTCTAAAAAATCCTAAGCCCTGGCCGATATCGGCCGTGCGCTTGCTTCGGACGGTAGGGGCAGACGCAAAATGGTGCAGAAAAAAAGAACCCTAAGCCCTGAGGCTCTAAACCCCAAACCCTAAACCCTACAACCCTAAAGCCGCAAACCCTAAACCATTATAGCAAACTGAGACACGAAGGCTTAAATCCCAAGGTTCTCAGACCGATGGACGTTGGGGGACCGGCCCGGAGCAAGCTTGGGAGGCCCAGGCCACGTCGGAGTTTGTCTTTTTGTGGGGGTGTGCTTTAGGGTTTACGGTTTTAGGGTTTAGGGTTCAGGGGTTTAGGGGTTTAGGGGTTTAGGGTTTTGGGTTTGCGGTTTGCGAGAGCTTTTGGTTGTCAGGGGCCTCTTCCGCTTCACGTGCTTCCCCCGGTGGGGAGTCTCGACCACCCGAAGGCCTTGTCGGGAAGGACGTTAAGGTCCATGGGTAGTTATCCGTGAGGGTTATAAGTCCCTAATATGGGTTATACTTATAGTTACCATACTTATAACCCACACTTGAAACTTATACGTACCCATTATCCTCCAAGTAGATTCAACAGAATGTCGCTCCTCTTCTTTATGTCCTTGGTGTTCGCTCAGTCTCATCAGTCGTCGGTCATATGCCGTAGCACGAGCAGCATGAGTATTGCCAGTGTTGCTACTCTTGCTGTTGCCATTGCTTCTTCTTGTTCTCTTATTGGTTCTTATTCTTGTTGTTGTCGTTTTTTCCTTGTTACGACGATGACACGACTACGAATGCAGCTGTTGCTACTGCTGCTGCTGCTGCTGCTGCTGCTGCTGCTGCTGCTGCTGCTGCTGCTGCGGTTGCGGCTACGGCTACGACGGCGACGACGACGACTACCACTGCAAATGGCGATGGTGCTAGACTCCGGCTGCTAGTTTGACGGGTGTTCGTGCGGCGACGACTAGCATGTCGAGCTTGTGTCAGACAGTCTGTCGAACATAAAGTTGCAGAGTCGTACAAGCCCTCTTTTGGTGCTCGCGGCTGCGCTTTCTGCAGGCCACTGCGAGTCTTGGCTCCGGTGGAAGGCGTGCATGCCGTTTTCTATGGCAGGGACGATCGTTTGCAGCTTTTGAGTGGGAGGCCCGGCCCCTCTGAGAACCTCCTGGAGCAGTTCCACATTGGTGCCACGTTGACCGGGTCGGCGCAGGCCCCCACCCAAGCCGAAGCCCGCATTGTCTCACGGCTTCGGCGCCCCCCTTTGCCAGGCAGACTACCGCTCAACCATGGAGCAATTTGGAAACTGGCCCGGGGCTTCTTCATCGGAATCTGTTGTCAAGCCCTAAACCCCTAAACCCCCAAACCCCAAAGCCTAAACCCTGAACCTTCTTCCGTCATCGGAATGACCCGTCGATCGCCCACTTGCATTGTGAGCTCTGTTGATGATATAAATCCTGCATTACCTTAAGGACCCTAAACTATGGGATTTATGGTATATTGCTTATTACGGGTAATTCAGGATTTATATCATCAACCGGCTCCAGCGATTGCGAAGCTTCGCTGAGGGAGACTCCCATGCACGTGCCCCAATCCTTCCCACTTCAGGCCAGGAGCCCAGTTAGGGTTTAGGGTTTAGGGTTTAGGGTTTAGGGTCTAGGGCCTCAAAAGGTGGGCTGAAGGTAGGTAGGATTAAGGATGCCTTATGTAAGGACTCTTATTTGGGAGTATCCCACCTACCTTCGTCCCACCTTTTTCAGGCCTCCGAGTATCGTAGCGAGGCAGCTGTTGAGGTACTGTTATACAATACTATACAACAAGTATTATTGTCAGATGATTCTTCATTCTTATCAGTATTAGTGTGTTAATTATTCACATTGTTGCTATTGTCATGAATATTAAGGTTATTATTGTTGTTGGTGTTAGCATTGTTGGTATTCTAGCTCTTGTTATTAGATTTGGTTTTTGTTGCTTCCTGCTTCCTTTTCGAGGTTGGAGCCGCGCCGGCAGGGGCCTCTTCTGTGTCGCGCCCGCTGCTTCTTTTGATCTGCGTTTGCACCGCAGCCGGCGACAGTTACAGGATGGGGTTAAAGCCCTAAACTCTAAGCAGTAAAGGTGATTTCGGCTGCACCAAACGGGTAGAAAAGGGCCCTCAAAAAAAACTTAAACCTTCGGGTTGAGGGCTTAGGGTTGCGCAGGAACTTGGAGATCTTTGGGCTTCGATGTTGCCTTAGCTTTTCCCAGGTGCCCAACTGCCCTCCTCCTGCAGAGAGTGTCATGTGGATAGACAAGAGGCCTCGACGGTGTTGGGTGCTTTTTAGAATTCGTTGGTGCTTCGTGATATCCGTGAGAGCGTGTTCCTGTGCGGTGATGCCACCCTGGCAGGCAGAACCCACACCCTGCTGACGTACAGGCGGGATTTGCCAGAGCATGCCGCGATTGACGTCGTGAGCCTGGAAACCCGTACCGGGAGGCAGAACATCAACGAATATTTGGAGAAATGGCCTGGGCCTGAGCTTGCTGTCAGCATTGGGAAATGCGAGAGAAGCTTGAATGTCATGTGGCCCAGACCGCTTCCGACGCTTGTGCAGCACGAGATTTCCCGGCTCGAGCGCGCCCACCCACGGCGAGTGAAAGATTCTACAACAGCCTTGAACAAGTACCTAAACCCTAAACCCTAAACCGTCCACTATAACCCAGCAAGGATCCTCTTCTGAAGTAAAGGGCCCATGTTACCCAGCGATGAGTCCGGCGCTGGCCGGGACAAAGAATGCCTCAGGCCCGGACGGACTCATCGGACTTATCTGTCCAAGAGTGGTTGGACACATTATAGTGAATTATAGTGTACTGACAGAATACAACATACTTTATAACACATCGTTGCGGCTTTTACTGTCAGGAAGCGAGCCAGGTTGGCCGGCCCCGGCGGCGTGCCTCGGGACGGTGTGGAAGTAGAAGTCGTGCCATCTGCTTCTCGCTTCTCGCTTCCGGACTGAGGAGTCGGCGTCGGCTTCCGACTACCCTGTCGAAGAGGCCTGCCGAATCCTAAACTTGCAGCCTTACAGTACACCCTACACCCTAAGCCCGAAGCCTTGAACCCTCTAAGCCGTATAGACCCTAGAGCCTAAACCCCAAACTCTAAACTTTCTTTAAGCCCTATGTAAGGCCCCTGCGGTGTTTCGGGACCCGCGGCTTGGCTGCCCGGTTGGCGCCGTGGTCTGCGAGGTGGCGGAGCTCGGTGTTGTCTGGGGTCCCGTCCCTTGGAGCTTTCAGACATATGATATATTGCGTCGTGCAAGCAACTCCAACTTCCCTTATCACAGTACGCGCAAAGACATTTACGTACATACACACACACACACATCATACATACATACATCCATCCATGCATGTATGTATGTATGTATGTACGTATAACTGTATGCATTTATAAGTAATGTACACTATGCAACAAGATACAGATGCTGAAAGGCGGGTTTGACCCACGTAGGTGGCCCGGCTGCAAAGCGTCTTCGCGGCCCTGCGCGGCTTGGGCTGGGCGCGGCCGAAGGCCCACCGAGACCTACCCTGAACCCTAAAGCCTAAAGCCTAAATCCTAAATAAGTTCTAAATCCCTAGACCTAAAATTAGTTCTAAACCCTACTAATTCCTGAATACATGCTAAAGCCTAAACCCTAAATAAAATGCTGACCTCAAATCTTAAATAAATCCAAAACTCCACAAACTTGAGGCCGTGCGGGACTATGAGGGGCGCAAGGCTGTCCACTTGACCATCGAAGGCCTGCTTCCGGCGGAATGACGGTACGGACAGGGACCTCTAAACGTTAAACCCTAAACCATACTTGGAGGTTCATGGGTAGTTATAAGTCAGGTTACAAGTAGGGTAACTATACTTATAACCCATAGTAGGGTACTTATAACCACTTATAGCTACCCATGCGCCTCCAAGTATACCCCGAACCCTATTTTAAGCAGGACAAGTAAGGCCCCTACATTGGGTACATTTGGGACTTCGGAGAACTCAGGAACCCCTAAACCACAACCTCCAAGTGGACCCTGAAACGTTTGACTTGGGTCAGGTGCTGCCTCCCTCTCTGCAGGGGAGGCCCGGGGATGCTTGTTTACCGAGGAGAGAGAGTTTCAAGAGACTTCAATATCCCTTAATGAAGAAATATGCCTTAAATCACATTAGGATCTCAATATCCCTGAAATGAAGATCCATGCCTTAAATCATATTAGGATCCCTACTCTCATTTAAGGTACACTCCTTAATCAAGGGATATTGGAGTCTCTGAGTTCCAAAAGAGCTTCGGAGCTCGACGACAGAAGTTCAGCTCATAGAGCTCTTCTGTTAGGCATTCGCAGGACAGCCTACGGGTACTTGGAGGGTCGGGGGACTTAGTAACTGGTTATTTTAGGGACTTATAAGTACCATAACCCCAAGTAGGGTCCCCTTTAGGGTACTTATAAGTCTACTTACTACCTACTTACTAAGTCCCCTAAAGACCCTCCAAGTACGGGTACAGTATGTCGCATTTTAAAGGCTCTGAGGAGACGCCACGATGCTGTAAATACTTTGACGACCCGGGAGATGCGCCAACCATTGTAGGATAGTAAAGGGAAGGGCAGGGGACTTAGTAAGTAGGTTATAGGTAGGGTTATAATTGGGGTAACTCCATTTAGGGTACTTAGGGGCCTTAAAGGGAACTCCAGAAAGTTGGAATATGGTTTCAGGATAGCATACCCTATAATTTACCATAAAGGGTTTAGGATAATCATATTCCAACTTTCTGGCTTTTACTTTACGGGGCCACGTGAGGTCGTGCTCTATACGATGCCTTGTCACAGCCTAGCAGGATTTTGATACCATCGCAGGCATTCTGCACCCTCCAACATGGGCGTGGGCAAGTCCAGTGAGGTGTCCCGTAAGATCCCGAAGTGGTATAGCGGTCGGGAGAATTAGTCAAGTTTCCCTTTACACTCATATGGGAGTTTTCGAAGATGAGGGGTACCTTATTTGGGGGTCCTTATTATAAGGATCCTTCTAGGGTGCTTACATCAAGGTCCCCTATTTTCGGAGACTCCCATATCCTACCCAAGAGTTCAAGCCGACTCGATGAGGTGGCGGCTTGAACAATTAGAATTAGGGCTCTTTTTAGAGGGGTTCTATAGGGGTTACTATAAGGGATCTATCACAAGGGTGCTATAAAGCCCCAAACGCCCTGCGCCCCAAGCCCCGGAGGACTGAAGCGCCAAACCCTACTTAAAGAATCATGGGACTTAGTAACTAGGGTTATAGCTATACTTATAACCCCAATTAAGGTACTTATAACCTTACTTACTAAGTCCCATGATCCTCCATGTAAACCCCAAACCAACTCTCTGCTGCATCTTGCGAAGCGGAGAAAGAGCCACTGCACCCTTAAAACAAAAAACCTACTCTCTCAACCTCTCAACCTCTCAACTTAAATCCTATATCCGCTCTCTATTGCTCTCTCAACTCCTAAACCTTGAATCTACCCTCGCATTAGACCCTACACACCCAACCCCAAAACTTAGATCCCTTCGCGCCGAGCTCCTGGCTGTGGACAGGGACCCGAGGAGCTCAAGAAGCTTTTGAAGGAGGGCTCTGCAGAGTTCGCGGAAGGCCCGAAGTGCACCGAAGGGTTTAGGTTTCAGGGCTTTGGGGTTTATGGTGTTAGGGTGTAGGGTTTTAGGGCTTTTGGGCTTTTGGAACTCACAGAAAAAGGTTTCGGGAGACGTTATACCACTGTAAGTATATTGGGGCTACAATACAAGGGATATCATGAAGCACCCTACGGGCTTGAATCCCCAATAACTTGATCCTGAAACTGAAACCTACAACATGCATTGGTTTCGGATTCGGGCTGGGCTACAGGGATTCGGGATTGAGGCCTTGGGCCAGGGTTTCGGAGGCAAAGATTCTGTTTCAGGGCGTCTGGGGGTCCGATTCATAGGATCTGGTTCTCATCCCTGAACGCCCAAAACCTAAACCCTTAAATCCTAAACCCCCAACCCCAAGACCCTAAATCCTAAGCCACTCACCCTCAACCCTAAACCCCTATGTAAAACAAAAAAACCCTAAACCCAGTCAGCTTGGCTAGCACTGGCTGGAGCCCACAGAGTCCCCGAGTATAAGACCCAAAATCAAAGAACGTCTCGCCGAAAGCGCCACGGTATCTCTCAGATCTCCTAGGGTCCTTGCTGCGATGAGTTTCCTTACATCACCTAAACCCCAAACCCAAACCCTCAACCCCAAACTAAACCCTAAACCGTAAATCCTAAAACCCTGAACCCTAAATCCTTCAGGGGAGCCTCCGAGGCAGCCAAGAAGACGAGAAAGAGTCCTTACCGTGAAACAAACCTCATAGGAGGCCAAAAGCGATTTTAGCCTATGGGGGTTTAGTAGGGATTAGGGTTCCCATAGTAGGGTTCATATTAAGGGGTCCCTGTCCCAAAAAGCTTAATCCCCCCTTTTGGCCTCCCATCAGCAACAAGATCTTGCCTCCAAGAAGAAAGCCGCTTCTCAGGCCTCCGCCTCGGCAAGCAACCGTACATGGGCCCTGCGGCCCAGGCTCCTGTGAAGGCACCTCTGCTGTGTCTATTTATTTACTCAATTACCTACTTACTGACTTACCTACTTACTTACTCGCTCACTTACTTACTCACTTACTTATTTTCCTACCTACTTACTTACTTACTTAATTTCCTACCTACCTGCCTACTTACTTACTTACTTGCTTACTTACTTACTTGCTTACAGCTTACATATACATATTCGCAGGTCATGCTTTTACATACATATATACACATGTGTATATATGCATCCGTACCTGTATCTGTCTGTGTATGTGTATTGGATATGCATCTGTGTCTGTATGTGTACGTGCATGTGTACGTGGATGTTTACATGTATGTGTATGGGTGCATGTCTATGTGTATGTGTACGTATATGTGGATGTATACGTATATGTAATTGAATATGAATATGTGTATGTTTATGTGTATGCATATCTACATTTAACTGTATGTGTGTATGTATATGTACATGGCACGTGTGCTTGTATGTGTATGCATGTGTATGTATGTGTATACATGCATATACATATGTATTTATGTACGTACGTATGTATGTATGTATGTATGTATGTATGTACATATATATATATATATGTATTATCTGTATTCTGCACCAGAGAAGTTCAAATAGTTATCAACTATGTTCTTGAGGGCTCCTATCAAACTTATTCTAGAGTATACACCCCCAACGCTCTCCCAATTGCAAGGCATCGGCATGATAGTATGAGGCTTAAGGACGCAGGTGTCTTGAGGTTCGGGGTTTAGGGAGATTGGGGGTTTTAGGGAGATTGGGGGTTTTAGGGAGATTGGGGGTTGGGGTTTAAGGATTTGGGGTTTCGGTTTTTGGTTGAAGGACTCGTAGAATCGTGGGCGGAGGTGTTTGTTTCAGGCTCAGGACTTAGAGTGAGGGTCTTCATGTTTGAGGCTTATCTTTGTAGCAGAGTATTCCTACGTATTCCCAAAGGTGAACCTTTCGTTTTTGTAGTATGCTCAAGCAGTTTATCGAGTTGACCGAACTCAAACCGCTCTGGTGCCTGTGCTGTGGATGTGTAAGAGGCTGTAGCGGCGAGCTTCACCTTCATCGAGCTCTTTGCTGGCGTTGGAGGCTTGTCTCGGTCTTTGCAGGGTTTTCGGCTTCCGAAGCTCGGAATGCCGCGGAGGAAGAGCCACCCAACACCCAGCTTCCTGAATCTAGCCACTTTCAGCATCAAACCCATACAGCAGAAACCCCGAAATCCTAAACTCCAAGAACTCCAAGACCCACATTCTGCAACAGCGAGATTCAAAACTCAAAAGTGGTCTTGGGGTCGGTGGCCTGAGCATAGGGTTTTGGGGAACAATGTGCCATCATTAAATCAGGAAAAAGTACTGTAGTACTGCTTGTTCGGACTGAAACTCCAGAACTTACAGAGTTCTGAGCTTCAAAAGCACCTACATTTTTTTGCTGCTGCTGATAACGATGGCGGTGACTGCGGTTTAAGGTTCAGGGTTTGGGCGGTGGTGATGATGATGATGACGATGTTGATGGTGCTGGATCTGGTTTACTGCTCGCACCAGAAATTGAGATCAGAAGCACCAAGAAGGACGGTAATAGGAGCCATGTCAATCATGCTGAATAGGCAAAGAGTGCCCAGAGGAATTGAGATCACAAAAGTCGGAAGAGTTCTACTAGATACAAAGACGGCATGGCGACTTGGAGAACTACTGTTACTGCTACTGCTTTTTTTGCTAGTGCCTCCACGCTGACAGCTGTTAACCCGGCTCCCAATGCTAGAAACAGTGCGGTTGTTATTTGTGTTACTAGTAGCATCTCCATTTCGGCTTGCTCTTATTTCCACTGGTACTGTTATTGGTATTGCTTCTACGGTTACTATTTGTTTCCCGTGTTTCTGCCGTTTTGCTGCTTTCCGACGCCTTTCTTCCCAGTCCGTTAGGTTTCCGGCACGGGTTGGAACCCCTGGGTGGCCAATGTGTCTTTGCATCAGAAATCGACATCTTGGCTGCATTAATGAAAGGCAAGCTGAGTCTCGAAATCCTCCCTAAACAGGCTCCGCTGTGTGAAAGGAACACAGGTAGGCCGCTCAGGGATAGTGATTGTGTTCATTGCTTCTCCATAGACTTCCGCCAGCGCCAGCCAAAGCCACCTTCAGCTCTGCTCTAATGGGGCCAAGCCCTCGCCCTCAACTTGGACCAAGCCAGCAGCCGCGAATGCCAGTTTCCTCACAGCCTCACCAACCGAAGGAAGACCCGTGCTAGGCAACGGGCACCCTGGCAAGCTGATCTAAATGGAGAGACTCCAAGAAGCCCCAGCACATGCTCCACCCAGCCATAGCCTGAAGTGGGCGTGGCTCCCTTTGACGCAGTTCAAGTTCAAGCTGGTGTCTTTCGTCTGGAAGCGATGATAGGCAACCCGTCACCAACCGGGTAATGCAAGATGAACACAACGCTTCGGAAGATGTCAGGAAGAAATGAGGGGTTTCTTGCCTTTCAAGCTCCGCCTCCCACGAACGGCTACCCCGGCGATGCCTGCGGCAAGTCTATTGACATCTGCTTTGAGGATGTTGTGCAGGCCCAGCCCCACCTCAGTTCCAGGCCCACCCCCACAGCTCCAGCCAGCGCAGGCGTCGCACGGAATTCAGTCTATCCCCCATAGCTCTGGCAATCAAGCCCAGCTACAGAACTAAAACATGGGGTTTTGCTGTGACATTACCTGAAGGACCAAATGACCCTTAAAAGTAGGTGCCTTATGCCCATGTACTATGATTCCCTATATGGTATGTGAACCTTAAAACCCTTTTAGGGTTCATTTCGTCCTTAAGGTAGGGTTTCGGCGAAGGGTTGCTAGCTTTCTGGCGGGTTCTGCGTTTGAATGCGGGGTGCGTGGCCTCGGCAGGTGGGTTCTTTCTGGGGATTTTTCGTTCGTGCTAGGGGGGTAGTTGCCAAAATAAGGGTCCTTTTTTGGGTACCCTAAATATTAGGTGCCGTATTATAATAAGGACCCAAAAAGTGGCAGTGTGAAATTTTTGGTTTTTGGGACGGGTTCCTGATCGCCCTGATCATGTCGAGGCCCCATTCGCTGAGCAGATCCCCATTGCCCATCGAGTTCAGGGTTAACTCTAAACCCTAAACCCTAAACCGTGCTCATTGTGCCCGGAAAGTTCCAGTTCTCAGGATGTGGATTGCCAAGAAGCCTATGCAGCAAATTTCGGGTCAAATGAGCTTTTCGGCGACATCACAATGATACCTTCTGAGGCGGGTGGGCTTCGATACGGACTTCAAATTCCAACCTACAAGTACGTGTGTTCTGTTGCGCAAATGTGGGATCTGTATGTGCGATAGATCCGGAATCAAAACGATAAAAGCTGTTGTATGCTTCTGTCATGCGCAGGACATGCCCAGGCATGACCTTCTGACAGCAGGCGGGGTGCTTGCGCAACGCAACCTCTGACTGCTGGTGAGTACATGTTTGTTCGTCAAGCAAGACTATTTGCCCACATACCTTGGAAGAAGCACGCTAATCGCAGGTTTCCCTTGTCAGCCATTCAGCCGTCGCGGCGAGCGGCGTGGATTCGAAGATGCACGTGGAGAGCTTTTTTTCGAGTTCCTTGACCAGACCGGACTAAACCCGACAGTCGCATGCAAGGCATAGCATAGCTGACCAGTTGATGAAGGAATATACCTTAAATCATCTCAAGAAATCTTGTTAGAGTTTAATAGGTATATTCCTTAAATGAGGGATTTTGGAAGGTCTGTGTGCATAATTGCTTCTCAACCCCCCAGCCCTGAGACCCCAAAGCCTTAAAGCCCTGAGCCCCAAAGCTGCAAAGCTCTAAAGCCACGCAAAGACCCCTGGAGCCCCATGGAGCCCCGAGCCCCCTCTAAAGCCCCGTGAACCCCCCTGAAGCTCAGGTAGACCCTGAAGCCCTAAAGCCGTAAACCGTAAAGCCCTGAACCCTAAATCCCTAAACGCTAAACCCTAAACCCCTAACCCTAAACCCTAAATCCCTAAACCCCAAAATCCCCGTGAGGATCGTGCGTGTCCTGGATGCGTGTCGACCCAGGGCTTTCTTGCTGGAAAACGTGTGGAACATGCAGACGCCCGGTGGCATGCAGAATTGAACATAATGTAGGGGCCTTAATAATTAGAATAGGGGTTTGGGGCCCATTATACCATACTTATAATAAGGAACCACCAAAATAGTATTTGTGAGTTGTTGAGGCCCTTAAATTAGCAGCTAAGGTCTTAAACTCCTTACTTTCAACCCCAAACCTAAAGCCCCGTGAATGACTTCACACCCCCAAGCACAAGGCCAAGAAGCCGAGGCCCTTGTCACTTCATAGACCTGACCTTGTGCGCATATTTTCAAAGTTTTCAATATGTGTCTATATGGACGGTTTAGGGTTTAGGGTTTAGGGCCGACCGGCTGCCAGAAGGGCCATCCCTAACCACAACAGGTTCTGTGTTGCTGTGCGTTGTCGCGGTACACCGGGCCCTCCTAAGCGCTTGCCTGCCCAGCTACCTACCTTCCTTAAAGCCCGTAGAACATGCTCGCACCGCCCTTCTCCCAGCCCTTGTGAGCCATGTCAAGCTTTGCAAAGCTCCTTGCAGAACCCTTGCAAGAACCCTTCTCAAACTTCTGAATTCTAAAGCCCTAAGAAGACCCTAAACCCTAAATCCTACTTGGAGGATCATGGGACTTAGTAAGTCAGGTTATAAGTACCTTAATTGGGGTTATAAGTATTTATAAGTATAGTTGCCTTACTTATAAACCTAGTTACTAAGTCCCATGATCCTTTAAGTAGAGCCCTTATAAGACCGTACGCCCTGAAGCCCGACAGAGCCGACGACGAGGTTCCTCGACGGTGGGCACTGGGATGCAGATCCAACGAAGTGCCGCAATGGTGCGCCCCCCCCCCCCACACACACACACACACACACGCACATACATGTGTTTCGGGGGTTCAGATTTCAGTTGATAACAACAATAGCCAAAAAATAACAAGAATCATGACGATAATAGTAGCGATAGTCATAATATGAGTAATAGGATCCTTAGGGGTTCTGAATAGAAGAATTCCAGAGTTATTCATGCACCTCTTGTAGGGTTTCTAGAGGCTCATTGCAGGGTGTTTAGGCCCTAGGGCTTCTCTACGGCCCATACTTAGAGGCTTAGGGCTTTATTCCGACACTGTAAGGATCCGGGACATAGCCCTAAACCCTAAACCCCCCGCATCAAAAAGGATTTCACAAAAAACCCTAAGCCCTAAATCCCTAAATCCCTAAACCCTAAACCCTAATCCCTAAACCCTAAACGATAAACCCCTAAACCCCAAACCCTAAACCCCTAAACACTACAAACCCTAAAACCCAAAACCCTAAGTGTTGCCACTCCATGACAGTTCCCGAAAGCAAGGGGCCCGACGATGGAACTCCCGAGAGGAGGATCCTCATTGGAGGCTCCATGATCCCTTAATTAAGGAATACCTGGTTCTAAGACATTTACAGGTGGGTAGTTATAAGGTGGGCAGTTTCCCATAAGCCTCCCATACCACTCCTATAAGGTAAAGGGGGTCTTATGGGAGTACTATGGAAGAGGAACTACCTACCTGTAAGGGGCTTCTATACCTAGGGCTAGGGTTCCTCTAAAGGATCTATAGGGTATAGGGTTTAGGGTTTAGGGGAGTCTAATATCCCTTAACTATGGAATATACCTCAAATCACGTTAGGGATCCTGCTGTAAGTTAAGGTATATTCCTTAGTTAAGGGATATTGAGTTGGAGTCTCTGGGTCGCTAGAAGGACCCTTAGAAGCGTTTATTTGAGACTAGCTCAGAACCTCCTTGATGGCTTGTCCGACTTGCCAGGCGAGGTGTATACCCGGGTTATCCGATGCTTGGAGGAAGTCGGCTACACGGCCGGAGCCTTGGGAATTTCGGGCTTCGGGTTGATTGATTCTATTTACAAGCCGGTTTTAGTTTGGGTTTACTGTTAGGGGTTTGGGACAGTTTAGGGTCCAGGGTTTTAGGATGTCGGGCAGGTGTTTTTTTCCTGCATGTCGGAAATCACGCTTACCTTGTGCAACCGTTCTTCCTTTGTCCTCCATGCTGCCGCAGCTGGTTCTTGTATCATCGCGATTTTCAGGACTTTGCAAAGTCAGAAAACTTCAGAAACCCCAACTCGAAGACGTTCAACAGCCGACCCCCGACAAGCTGGAGGGTTTAGGTTTTGTAGGGTTTATGCAGCCCAGGAAAGCTTTAGGCCCTTTAGGCCTTGCCACACCCAAGGTCCAGACGGCACAGCTGAATTCCGAGGGCTGGGTACCGCAGAAACGCGCCCGTCTTTACTTCGTGGGGATCAGGCGCACACACGCAGGTTGCACGTTCACCTCTGAAGCCCAGGGCTAGTAGTACGATGACCAGAATCGTGCCTGCGTTAGGTGTCATCAAAGAATACCGTCACCCTTGCTGAACGTCACTATCGGATTCGACTTACCGAAAACGGTTGTGTTGGTCCTTTCCTGGTTTGGCCAATGACACTACGGTTCTTCTTATTTTATTCTGAGTGTTAGTCTTAGTGCCACGATTGTTGTCGTTGTCAGTGTTACTGTTATGTGCCTGCTTGCTACTATTTCTATTTTGCTGCTGCAGTACCCACCACCGTGTGCTGTCGTTACTATCTTCATTAGTTGCCAGATAATCATGAGCATTGTCATTGTCATTCTTATCATAGTTCTTGTAGTTACTATTCTCGTTAGCACTCTTCTTATTATTAACAGTCTTTTCTTACTCAGCATAGTTGATTGTTAGTATTTGCTATGTACTATACCATCATGATGCCTACTTTTGGTACCAATGATTATGATTATGATTACGGTAACTTTTTAGTCGTAGACAGTCGCTGTTATTTAGTATGTATAAAAGTCATGATTGTGATGACGAAGATGAAGATGAATACGAAGAAGAAGGTGATGATGATTATGGTAAGCCTCCTTATTTTTTTAGGAGTATTACATTAAGTTTATCGCGATTATTGTTCGTTTTGTATTACTATTACTCTTGCTATTCCTCTTGTTACGATTATCAGAGCTATTGGTATTGCTTTGTTTGTTTTTGTTCGTTATGAGTTTTCAATTACGAACCAGTTCATCATGACTAGTACTCTTGTTGTTGTTTTTGTTACTGGTGCAACTATTCTTTGTGTTCTGTTTCTAGTATGAACAGTCTGTATTCTATTATGATAACGATCTTTGCCATCTTTTTTTATAAATCCCAGTCTCCGCACTTTCGCCAATCCCCGGTTGCCACCAGGAGCGACGAGAGGGACGCCTTTGCCCGTTTCTGCTGGCCGACTGGCCCTTGGGAGCGCAAGCTACAGGACGTCTTGGGGATGCTGGGTTCCTGTTAAGGGATTCAATTTGCGTTACCATAATTTAGGGTTCCTTTCACGGAGGGTTCTTGTTAAGGGGTTTAATTCAAGTTCCCATTATAAAGAGACCACATGAATTACTTTAGAACCCTATTATGGCAACTCAGATCAAACTTCTAAACGAGACCCCGGGATGACTTGGGGATCGGCCCTATTTGGGCTGCAGGGTTTAGGCCAGGGCTGGATTTGAAATTTTGCAGTTTGGGCTGCACCTAAACCCTAAACCCTAAACCCCACACCTACAACAAGAAGCCGAAGCACTTTCAAGAAAATCTAGAAGGTTCTAAAGGTGATTTTTCGAAGGGTTCCAGGCGGCAAGGCCGGCTCTCAAGCCGCCATTTGTCAGCATGCGACCTAAGCCCTCAACCCAAACACGTGAACCCCAAAGCCCCAGGACTGACCTCCTCCAAGTCCTAAACCCGGAACCCAAGACCCCAAGCAATCAAAGCCAGATAAAACCCCGGCTCGGCCTCTAACCCCAAACATTCCTAAACCCCCCCCCAAAACCACCAAAACCCCAAACCCCGCAACCCCAAACTTGAGCCTTAAGCCCCAATCCTAAACCCTGAATCCTGAACCCTAAACCCTAAGCCCCAAACAAACTTTCCACAGGACGTGCTGGAGCCCGAGGGAAGCCCGGAGGTGATCCGAAGCGAGCTCACTGAGTCCCAGTGGACGGCGACTTGACTTGGGCCTTAGATATGCGGGGTTACAGGGTCTCGGTCTAGGGATTACAGGGTTTCGGGTTTGGGTCTAGGATTACAGGGTTTCGGGTTTCGGGTTTAGGATTTGTGATTAACATGTTTCGGGTTGTTAAAGGGTTTGAGGGTGGAACGGTCTAGAGTTTAGGACAGTGTCCAGGGTGCGGAATGGAAGGTTGGGGTTTAGAGTGGCACTTGGAGGTTCATGGGTAGTTATGAGTGGCTTCATAAGTCCCCTAATATGGGCTACAAGTATAGTTACCCTACTTATAACCCTACTTATAACTACCCATGAACCTCCAAGCAGTGCTGAAGACCTTCGAGGCTTAGTGCCAAGGGTCAGGCAGGAGAGGCAGGCGCTGTGGGAAGTCTCCACAGTTGTCAGGTCATGCGGTTTAGGGTTTAAGGTTTATATAGGGGCCTGTATAATTAGACTAAGGTTTTGGGGCATACTATACGCTAAAAGAAAAGGAATCCCCCCAAAACAGTACTGATAATTATGTAGGCCCCTATACTATAGTACCCTTATAGATCCCTTATAGTCCCGTTTGAAGGAACCTTGGGACCTCTACTAAGCCCCCTATATTAACCTTCTTGAGGCCCCTACACTACAGTACCCTTATGGATCCCTTATAGTAGCCCCTACAGACCCCTTTTAAGGAAAACCCCAAAAGTATAGGTAATTATTAAGGTCCCTATACTAAAGTACCCTAGTAGCCCTGTAAAGGACCCTTTAAAGGAACTTTCTTAAGGCCCCTATCTTATGCTCGGCTCGGGGGCTTCTATCGCAGGCTGGGCTCTGACTGAAGGAAGTTTCTGCCCAGAGCCTTCTTACAGGGATTCTATGAGGGTTCCTTTAAGGGTCCCTTTAAAGGGATCTAGAGGGAGTCTATAAGGGTTTGGGGTTTAGGGCCTACTTGGAGGCTCATGGCTAGCTATAAGTAGGGTCATAAGTCCCCTGATATGGGTTAAAAGTATAGTTACCCTACTTACAACCCTACTTATAACTACTCGTGAACGTCCAAGTAGGGAGTGTACTTTACATTATGGTAGGATCCCTAATATGATATAAGGTTTACTCTTCAATTAAGGGGTATTAGACTCCCTTAACCCTATAGATCCCTGAAAGGACCCCTAGCCCTAGGTATTCCTTCATTAAGGGCTCTTGGAGTCTTTGGATATTCGAACTTGAGCTCTTCAAGAGGCCGTCCTCACTCGGGCTTGCTGTTCAGGGCTTCAGAGGTTCCTTATTATAAGTTGGAGGTTCATGGGTAGTTTTAAGTAGGGCTCCTTTAAGGGTCCCTTTAAAGGGATCTATAGGGATTCTATAAGGGTATAGGGTCTAGGGCCTACTTGGAGGTTCATGGGTAGTTATGAGCAGGGTTATAAGTAGGCTAGCTATACTTATAACCCATATTAGGGGACTTATAGCCCCACTTAGAGCTACCCATGAGCCTCCAAGCATACCCCGAACCCTATTCTAAGCAGGACAAGTTAAGTAAGGCCCCTACATTGGGTACACTTGGGATTTCGGAGAACTCAGAAACCCTTAAACCTTAAACCCAGAAACCCGAGGCAGTGCAGAAGAGCTCCACTTGGGCGCGTGGTGGCGACAGCCTGCGCTTCGCAAAGCTCGATGGTGCGGTGGGAACTCTGACAGTCGCTTCGAAGAAGAGTTTGGCTTCTTTGGTCTTGAGAGAACTCTGCGAAGTATATATCTACATATATATATATATACACATATTCCTATATATCTACATATATACATATATACATACACGCATTTCTGTTTGTCTGCTTTTCTGGACAGGCTTTGGGGAGGGAAGAGGTGGTTCAAAACTGCTTTCAACAGTTGTGGTCAGGGCTCAATTGCTGTCTTCGAGTTGAGGATTCCTCTTGGCCAGGTTCATTCTGGAGTCCTTCATCACAACCCCTCAAGCCCGAACCCCTAACCCCTTAACCCTGGCTGGTGGGCCTTTGTCTGGCAGACTGGATTGCGGGGTAAAGAAGGGGCTCAAAAAAAACCCTAAACCCTAACCCCTAAATCCTAAGCCCTAACCTGTTGGGAAGACGCCAAAGCGCGCTGACTCGCGCGCATGGCTCTAGCAAAAAAAAAGCCCTAACCTGCAACCAGGCCCCTAAACATTAAACCCCCAAGGCTCTTAGCCACATCCAGGCCAGCTACAAGTCTTCCTATGCCTGCACTGCCGAGCTCCTGGCCCCGGTGGATGCGAAACTCTCCCGGCCGCGCTTCTTCACCAGGCCGGAGGGGAACCCATAGACTCCCCTAGCCCTTAATAAAGGAATATACCTTGAAAGAAAGTAGGATCCCTAATATGATTTAAGGAATGTTCCTTCATTAAGGGGTACTGGAGTTTTCGGGCGCCGGAGTGGAAAGCCACTTTGGGGTTGAGGGTGTTAGGATATTAGGGTCTGGGGTGTTGGGGTGCTTCAGGGTAGTAGAGTGCTTTGGGGTGGTAGGGCATCAGGGCATTAGGGTGTTAGGGCGCTTTAGGGTGTTAGGGTGCTGTAGGGTATTAGGGTACCAGGGTGCTAGGGTTTAGGGTTACAGGGTCTAGGCTTGAGCGCCTAGTGTTTTAGGGGACTTCAAGGAGGGACCCTTAATGGGGACCCCTACCCTATAATGGGCTATATAATGAGTATATAATAGCTATATTAAGGGTATATTACCTAGGGGTCCTTATTAAGGGTCCCTCCTTTTACCCTTGGAGGACTGCTTTACAAGGACATGCAGGGTGCATTTAATTTGCTGCTCGAAAGGTTTCTGTCAGCATGCAGCTGAGGGTGAGGGTACGGAAGAATGATGGTACCAATAGTCTAAGATCATGTAGTGGTACTGCTGGTAGTAATGGAAATACCTGTCAGTATAACGATACTGTAGTTGTCATACTAGTAGTAATACTGATAACCGAGACAATAGTACCAGTAGCAAGCACAGTACCCACAGCAATGATAGAAATCATGACAAAATGGGAATCACATATCAACGGCAGTCATGGAGGGTGTATGGAGGCTTGGGTTCGGATTGACAGAGCGAGGATTGGGGCACCATAAGCGCGAGAGCTTGGCAGGCGAGAGTTCGCGCGCTTGATGGGCTTTCCGGAGCACCATGTCTTTGCCAACCCGCATAGTGCCTTGCTTGCAAATTCGCCGGTCCTGTGACGCTGGAAAGCTGGCTCCTTAGCACTGGCCATCCGATTGCGAGGTGAAAACCGAGCATACCACCAACTTGGAAATGCGGTCTGCCCGCCGGTCATCACTGCGATCGCACGACTCTAGATGGCATAACGTCTTTGGAAACCCTTTAACCCTAAGCATGGTGTCCATTGCGACACGCAGCGACATGTTCAGTTCTGAGATTGGCTGGGTTCTTGTTAAGGGATTCAGTTTAAGTCAGCATAATAGGGATCGATAGTAAATAATATTGTTTCCTAATTATAGTAACTTAAATTAAGTTCCTTAACAAGAACCCCCATAGAACCCTTACAGGAACCCTAGATTACGGTAACTTAGATTAGGTTCCTTAACAAGAGCCCAGTTGAAACTCTCAGCACGGCTGTAGAGTGCTTTAAACCCTAAACCTTAAACCCTAAAGCCTAAACCCCCAAACCCTACTCAGCACGGCTCCAAGGTGGTTTGCTGCAGGCGCTGGGTGTGTGCCACTCCTTGCCTGACTCTGCGGTCGAGCAAAACAGTCCGGCTTCACTGCCTCGCCCGGGTTTCCATGCCATTCCTTATTACATTACATTATATTATACTATGTTATATTGTATTACATGATATTGCAAGGTTCTTTTGTTGTTATAGCATACTATATTATGTTATATTGCATTATGTAACATTACGTTATACTTTACTATATTATATCTCAGTCGAAAGAGTTTGGCTGCCGAGGCACAAAATTTGAAGCAGCAGGGCTTCCACGACGCTCCGGCTCGGTTCAGACTGCGAGCGGAAGAGGGGGACTCAGAGGACTTTAAGGGGCCTTAATAATTGGAGCAGGGTTCCTTTAAAGGGGGTCTGTAAGGGCTACTTTAGGGGCTATTATAAGGATGTAGTCTGCCCGACTTTTCATCTGAGCTGGTTTCGAGGGGTTTAGGGTCTAGGGGTTCAGGGGTTTAGGGGTTTAGGGGTTTCAGGGGTTTAGGGGTTTAGGGGTTTTAGGGGTTTAGGGGTTTTAGGGGTTTAGGGGTTCAAAGTTTGGGGGTTTAGGGTTTGGGTCACTCAGGACTCAGCCTGGATTGTAAATCCCCACTTGCAGTGCAAAATCCTTCTGATTCGAAGTCTTGGCCTGCCAGGGCGAGTACTACCAGCAAGTGGTGACCGAGATTGCTGCGTGACAGCATGGGAGTCTCATGTTTCGAAGATTCGGTAGAAAGCTGAATTGTAGCGCTCGGAGGCAAAGCAACTGCCTGGAGTGGATGCGTCGCTGGAGCGTGGATACACAGGTGCGCTGCTGCGATGTCCATGTTTCCGACGAACTGTTGACGGAACCCCGATAAGAACCGTAAGCCCTGCATAATTAGCCAGGACCCATGCTGCCGCCGGTGGCCCCGCCACCTGTGGTCCCGCCCGTGGTGCCGCCGGTCGCCGCATCTCCAGTAGCCCCGCTGGCCCCACCGAAGAATCTCGACGGCGTGGCTCCAGGCGGCCGCAGTCGCCCCGAAGCCCTGAAACCCTTCAAAGCATTCGGAAGGCCAGAAACCCTTGTTTATAAGCCTCTGCGGCTCCTGAACCCGGATACGGCCCAAAGCCATAAACCCTGGCCTGTAAACCTTGATGGCCCTGAATCGAAAGCCCTTGAAACCCCAAGTTCGAGACTGATGCCACGTTTAAATGCCCTCATATCTTAGGGGTACTTACAAAGAAGTTTTAGTTTTTGGTTATTATAATCCCTAAGAAACAGCCAAAATTATAATTTTTGCTAGGGTTCTAAGTTCAGTATAGATAAGCTGTGGACCACTGTTTAAGGAGCTCTTAAAGGCATTCCTCAAAGGAGCCCGAAACCGAACTGCCAGGATCCTCCAGGAGCCGCGAATGGTCACCGAGGGATCCGCGGGCCGCCGTGACCTCAGAGTTTACTTCGAGGTTCAGGGTCCCTTTAATGGGATCTACAGTAACCCTAAACCCTAAACCCTAAACGATCTACGGGGATTCTATAAGGGTTTAGGACTGGGGTTCAAGTGTGATCTTGTGCAGCTCCCAGGAAGAGCGGATGGAGGAGCTGCACCGCTACATCCGCAACCAGGCGACAGAGGGCCCTGACATAGTTTAGGGTCTTGGGTTTAGGTTGTAGGGTGTAGGGTTTAGGGTTAGAGCAGCAGATAATCTTCAACCGTTCTGGGGTACTGTAATTCTTATATTGGACCAAGATTAACCTTTAGTGCCCCTAGAATACTGGACAAGTGACACAGTGCCTACATGTTGAGAGCGCTAATTGGAGAACCCTGCTAGAACCCTTTACGAAACCTAAGCATTACACTCCTCAAGAACTGCATTGTAGAACCATGCATTCCATTCATCCATTCATGAGAAGAAAGTTCAGGCACCCTAAATCCCTAAGCTTCCAAACTCTAAAGTCATAACATCAAACCCTAAAGCACCCCGTCATAAAGCCCTGAAAGAATCCTGAAAGAAGCCTCATGAAGAACTCTCTTTGCTTAAGGAATCCAGAAAGACACCCGTAAAGAACCCTTAAAGAAGCCCCTTATTATAGAGGCCTTCCTTTTCTCCTACTATCAACACCCATTCTTATTATCAGAAACATTGCTATCATCGTTATCAGTAGCATTGCTATAACTAAGATCATTAGCATTTCTATGGCTCCCAAACCCCGTAATTGAGTAATATACGTTAAGTCGTATTAGGGTACCCAGCATCATTTAAGGGATAGTCCGGAAAAAAGCTTGGGAGTCTCTTTGAATGTTGGTGTTCGAACTGGGATGACTACTTGGAGGTTCCTGGATAGTTATAAGTGGGGTTATAAGTCCCCTAATATGGCTTGTAAGTATAGTTACCCTACTTATAACCCTACTTAAAACTACCCATGAACCTCCAAGTAGGCCCTAAACCCTATACCCTTATAGAATCCCTATAGATCCATTTAAAGGGACCCTTAAAGGAGCCCTACTTAAAACTACCCATGAACCTCCAAGTATTGTCATCCCACCCGAACCCTTCAGGCGAACGACTTCGCGGAGGGGAAGGCAGAATGGAGTCGGCAGTTGGCAGAGGCCGCGCCGTTTTAATTTCAATTTTTTTTGGGGAGGTGGGTCTAGGGTTTAGGGTTCAGGGATTCGAGTTTAAGGGAGGAGGGAGGGGGGTTTGCCGTGGGGGGTTTTAGGGTTTCAAGGTTTTTGGGTTCAGGGCCAGTTTGGGTTTTCTGTTTTACGGTTTGTGGTTCTGGGGTTCTTGGGTTCAGGGGTTCAGGGTCAACTGCAACGTTTCCGGTGTGCAGGGGCCATAGGATTAGTTTAGGAACCTTGACAAGCAGAAATCGTGAGTTTTGCAGTGTTTCTGCGGGCGTGTTATGGGCTCCCTGAAGCTTCCATCTCAGCTCGATGCTGGGGCATCGAGTGCAAACTTGAGGGCCTGAGGGTTGATGGGCTGAGAGGTTTGGGGTGCAGCACGGTCTAGGGTTCAGGACGGTATAGGGGTTTAGGATAGACGCTTCTTTCTCTAGGTCCATGCAACATCGCCGGCTTCGGTTCCAAGTTGTTGCGTAGACTCAGAGCTCGCGCAACCACAAGCCTGCAGCTAGGGTATGTGATACGCTATCGGACCAGCACGCGGTTGGGCCGATGTATCGTTGATTCTCAGCCCATCATTGCACACATGGGTGGCTAGGATACCAGGTGTTGTTGGCATATCAAGGCGCATGGTTCAAGCTGCCATGTTGGCTGCCGATGCTGCCGCCCTCCTGCCAAAGGCACAGGCCTTCATGACCCAAATGCAGGCAGAAAATGTGGAGCTGAAGAAAGAGATAAAGCGCTTCAAGACCTTGAACGCCGTGTTGCAGCAGGCCATCGAGAGCCAGCTGCAAGGTTTTCCGGGTCTCCAGTTTTCCGGTGGCGCAGCTGCGCCGACAACACGGCTGGCTCAGGCCTGTGGGGCTCTCAAAACGAGAGCCCAAGAGCTGGAGGCTGAGATTGCGAAGAAGCGCGAGCAGAAGCTGCAGATGCAGAGCGAGTTGGAGAGGAAGAAGGCCAAGCTGCAAGCTGCCATGTCAACCACACCTGCCAAGTCGAACAGCAGTCCACCCCAGCTGACGCCGGCATCTGGGACCGGCACTGTCCCGAGCAACATTAGTCATCTCAGTCGCAGAGAAGCAGCGCTTCTTCTGCAGCAGGATGCCTTCCGGAAGAGATTCCTGTTGAGACGCGACTTCAAAGGGCCCAGTGCCTGATTTGTTGTCGGACTGCCCAGCTGGTTCACGGACGTCAGACTTGCCATTGGCTTTCTGAAAACAGTGGTTTTGCATTCGCTTTTCGATTAAAGTTGAACGGGGTTCAGGGTTTAGGGAGTAAGGTAGCTCTAGGCTTTAGGGTGGTGGCAATCACAGCTAGCTGATAGGAGTGGTTCTCAAGATTACAGTCGCTTTCTGGACCCTGGCTTTAGCGGCGCTGGATGGCTGGGAGAACCCCACAGGAGCACTAATCTAGAGAATCGCTGAAACATAGTCATAACAAAAAAAGCGTGAAATAAGGATCGCACGAAAACGATTTTAGCAGAGGGAGTCCAAAGATTAATCGCAGCAGCGATGGCGTCACCGTGGTAGCCGTGGTATGCAGCAGCAGTGCATTACTTGTCGGCGTGTGGGCGGTCATTTCAGTTGTAGCAGTCGCGGTCGTCGATGCCGACATCGTTATCATATGGGTGGTTATCAAAATTAGGGTCCCTTTTGGGGTCCCTATTATAGTGCGGCACCTATTTTTTAAGGGTATCCCAAAAGGAACCATAATTTTGACAACTACCCATATGTTATCATATTTAAAGTAATCGTAGTCGTGGTAGTGGAAGACAATATCAGCAGGCAGCGGTCAGCTTGTCGCTGCTGTAACGGCTATTGCCACGTGTCTTTGCTTCTTGTGTAGCTCCTGCTGTTGCTGTTGTCTCTGTTTTCTTTTCTGGCTATTGTTCATTGCGTACTGCGGAGGGGACCTAGCACTTGAGTACTAAACAAGGATCACACGAAGGTTGGCATGAGGACTTGGGTTTTACATGACTCGCTCGATGGGGCAGGTCCGCAGCGAAAGCCTTCGCGAAGTCGAGAAGGTTCGCATGCAAAGCACTGGGTACCAATGCAGGGACATACTCTCATGCTGCGCTGCCATCCATAGTGACGAGATGACACTCTGGTTCTCCTCAGCAGTTTCGTCTGATGAGCTAGCTGTCCAATTAGAAGTCTCAGCCGGTGCTTAGCGCAGAGGCGTGCGCAGGATCTCTTTTCGAATCAAGAGCAACACCAGTCACCAGTCTTCTTGCTTGACTCGTGGCTAGGAGGCAGCAGAAGTTACATCAGATTCTCAGCCCTTGAGCAACCTGAACTCCTTCTCAGGTTCGGCGAGAGAAAGCTGAGCTAGAATGCCAGGCGGCGTTGCAAGCCCAAGACCATTCCCTTGTAGCCAGGGATCGTCAGGCGACCTTACCTCTTGGTCCGGTCCGTCTTTTTCTATCTGTTGGTCCGTCTGTACGTATGTGCTACACATAGAGGAAGTGTATATGCATATTCAGCACCTGTTTCCTTGCTTGTTGTATGATACCTTTGTGGTGGTCTGTTTATTTCTAGAGCTCCAAGCCTGAAAACAGACCGAATCCGCAATCATGATGACCTTGTGGCAGACATGGGTCATGCTTTTTGCGTTTTTTTGTCATGTCGTGAGGTGCGCACATTCTAGAAGGGCTGTCTTTTCTTGTCCAAGGTTGGGGGTGTGTGCCTGTCTGTGCATACATGCATACATATATATATATATATGTGTGTGTGTAAAGGTAAATGTATACATACCGTAGGTCGGTCCCATCGGTTTCATACATCAGCAGCATGTTGTCATGTCAGGGTCAAACCTGGGACATACAGATGTAGACGTATCTGCAACTATGTCTACATACATACATACATACATACGTACTTACATGCATACATACGTATTTCTCGTGGGGATGCAGATGAGGCCAGCCTGCTTCTGCCCTACATCTCTGCACGCTCTTGAGCTCCAGCACTCATACCCATCGTATTTCGGATCATCGCTGCTCTACCCACTTACTCACCCTGCCTGCAGCCCAGTGGCAACCCTAATATAGGGGCTTCATAATTAGAATAAGAGGGGTTTTAGGGTATATTAATTATACTATAAAGATAATAACGAACCCCAAAACCCTATAAGGCCCTTACATGAACACCCTGGATCCCAAAACCAAAGCACCCAGAAACACAGCCTTGATCCTCTAAGCGATCTGAAACCCACCAAACCCCAAACCTCTAAGTCCTAAAACCCTAAACCTCTAAACCCCACCCTAAACGCTAAACGTCTAAACCCTAAACTCGAAACCCCTAACCCCTAAACCGCTGAACCCCTAACCCCTAAACCCCTGAACCCCTAACCCCTAAACCACTGAACCCCTAAACCCCTAAACTCCTAAACTCCTAAACCCCTAAACCCTTAACTCCCTAAGCGCTTGCCACAGGCCCGTCGGGAACTGGCCCGGCTCAAGCATCGGATCAAGGACCTTGGAGGCGGCGAAGAGGCAGGGCGGTACCCAGAGACTCCAATATCCCTTAATTAAGGAATATACCTTCAATTCTTGTAGGATCTCTAATATGATTTAAGGAATATTCCTTAAGAAGAGGCAGGGGGGATTTAGGGTTTCAGGGTTTAGGAGGGTTTGGGGTTTGAGGGTTTCAGGGTTTAGGAGGGTTTGGGGTCTAGGAGGGTTTCAGGGTTTAGGAGGGTTTGGGGTTTGAGGGTTTCAGGGATTAGGAGGGTTTGGGGTCTAGGAGCTAGGCAAGGTCACAAGTAAGTTCGCTGTTCCGATTTGCCCAAATTCACATAAATCCATTTACCACTTCGCCCCCTTAAACATTCACCACTTTACCACGAAATATTCATTTACCACCTCGCCACCTCACACAATAACCACTTTACCACAAATTACCTATTTACCACCTAGCCACCTTAAACAATCCCCCTATACCATAACTACCAAAGAACTCTCCTATTAATAAATTATGAACGGCATAGGTTGCCCTTTATAATTTGATGTATCAAATTATGAACCTACTTATGTGGTGCTGTTAGAATATTAATAATAATAATAATAATTATTATTATTCTAAACAAATATGTGCTGTTTATTCAAAAACCGGTTTAAGATACTTACATATTTCCTTATTGTCAAAATATTCTTGGTTATAACAACAAGCCGTTTTATTTGTAAAATATATTTCTAAGATGGTTCTAAGGAGGCTTTTGTAAGTGGAATATTGACGAACCCCGTGATGGTGAAATTCTTCATCTTCATCATACCAAAAGCGTTTAATGACATCAACACCATAATTAAGAAACCAATATGCTTTGTATGCTTCAATAGTTTTTATATGCCTTGACTCATTAATAAACTTTATCATTAATTTTTTGCAACTATTACTGTATTGCATGTGTGTGGATTCATTGATAATGTCTTTAAAATATTGTTTCTTTTGTTTGAGATTTGTTAGTCTTGTGTATTTAGAGTCAAAATGATGTAAAATGCAATGTAATTGTTTCTTCCCAGTGCTATAATTCTTGAATTCTTCTTTACTGTATTTGTTTTCTAATTCAAGCATTTGTTCGCATTTGCAACAACATTCAAAGGATGTGATTATATTAATGATTTTTTCATTAAATACTTTGTTCAATGCGATTAAATTTCTTTGCTGAAAACATTCGCACTTATCACATTTAAAGTTAAAGTTAAAGGCCATAATCTTCCTACTATACTAAGGCGTTTTGTCTTTAAAACGTTTCTGTCCAAACGGCTTTATCAGGACAGTATGAACTTACTTGTGGGGTGCTTGTATGAAATATAATGAAAATAATGTTTCAAAATATTATTTATATGATATAGTAATATGCCAGAAGTTATACTTAAAAAATCATCTAAACCAGAAAAGAAATATGACGCAGTCATTGATGGTAAAAAAACTGTTTCCTTTGGCGCTACGGGTTATAGTGATTTTACAAAACATAAGGATGAAGAACGAAAACAAAGATACATAGCACGACACGGTGCTACACAATCTTGGAAGGACATAGAAAAACCGCAGACGTGGGCACGGTATATTTTATGGGAAAAGAAAACAATACCAGAAGCGGTTAGAAATATGGAAAATAAATTTAACATAGACATAAAACTTAAAAAATAAAATAATTATTATTAATATTAATAATAATAATTATCGTGTTTTCATTTATGCTTTATATTATCTACTATTTTTGTATCTTTTTCAGTTTCTTGTATTCCTTCATTCTTCTTTTATTTTCATCAATCTGGTCTCTAATGGTTTGTATTTCATTCTTAATTAATTGCAGTCTTTTGTCATAATGGTATCGTGTTATATTTTCACTTACTGCTTCTTCTGTAAAATGCTTACGGTCTTCATCATCTCTTGCTTTATCCGTCATCTGTGATTTGAATTCTGTTAAACGCTTAATTCTATTCAACAACTCATCATTTGTTTCTTCAATTTCATCAATCATAAACTCAACAATTTCAAGTTGAACTTTGTTGCTCATTCTCTCTTATTATACTAAGGCGTTTTGTCTTTAAGCCTTTTTGTCCAAACAGGTTTCTCAGGACTTATTCATATCGGTCTCCTACCTTTTTAATGCCATAATATTCCAATGTGGTCTGCTTCGGCTGTAATATCTCTGCATTATTCAATTTATTTAAATATGTATTCTTCCTGTTGTCATATGAAGCATCTTTATCAATAGGTGTTCTAACAATAGGTTTTGTCTTTCTTCAATTGCTTTTAACCTTTCATCAATGGTATTCAACCTTTCCAAGATTTTTTGAAACTTTGATGGTTTATGTTCCTCTTCAAAATCCATCTCCTGTATCATATACCTTAAAATAGGAAATTTTAAATTAAAATTTTTATAATAAAATTTTTCATAATAAAATTATTATGAAAACTTTCAAACTAATTAAGCACCTGCTTATGAAGTGCTATTGAATGTATCTCATTACTTCCCTTTCATAAGAACATCCAATATGAAACACTGCATAGGGACGTCTGGGGGTTTTCTTTTCCTTCTTCCAAAAGTAAAACTGGCACACTTGCCCTGTCAGTTTTAAATAATTCCATTTCTCTAAAACTTTAATCCACTTTAATTTTAGACTTATTTATATCTTTTATATCTTTTT